GTGGTTAGTTACCCCTTCATGTTCTGCAGAAGCCTCTTAATAACCTACTGATTCAAATCAAGTGTGTTGGAGCACAGGGGAAACTCTAAAACCTGCAGGCCCTTGAGGACCAGGATTGGACACTCCTGGTGTGAGACCAAAAAACAATTTCTTCTTGCACAATTGGAGGAAAGCAGCACCTCCCTCCTCCTCCAACACTTCGCCTCTCGTCTCATCCACACATTCTGCCACCTTCATGTTTCACCCTGCACAGAACTTATCTCTTGCTTTTTCCCTCCTGAAGCACACACACACACACACACACACACACACACTGGGACTTACACTAAAGCGCACACATTTCACTTTTTTTCACCCGTCGGCTCGCTTATTTTTATTCACCCAGTCATGCAGAATGAAACTCACTCTGTCATCTTCCTCCCCTCTCCTGCTCAGCTTTCACCTGCTCATGTTCTTCATGCATCTACCTCTTGGGTGTACGTGTCAGAGCATCCGTGCTGCTACGTCAGGCAGCCACATCGCAGATGTTTAAAAAACCTTCTATGCCGTAAGGATTTAAGGCACGGTGTGCAGCCTGTTGCAGCGAGCTAGCGTGCACGGGCGCTGTGATCTAATGCGGAGCGTGCACAGCTCTGCAGACGTACGCCGCAGTCTGAGAACGTTGCAGAGGGCATCACATACTAGTTGAACTGATGGACAACCGAGAAGCATTCTGGGTATTAAGTGGCACTGTTTAAAATATACCCAGCAGCATGCTTTGCACCAGCACACCCCAGTAACCTTGTGGCTAATAAATGTCGCTGGAACTCGTTCCAAGACCTCTTTCATTGTCGAGTCCATCACAGTTGACACAAATATGACTCTGAAACAACTTACAGAGTCAGATTCTACTAATGAATCCAGTTAGTCTGTCAAACGGTGGAAATGTCTTTCCATCAACGTGCCAGAGTCCCCTCTAACATCATGACCGATAGCAGTGAGCTCAGACGAGACGCAGAAAACACACGAGGCAGCCAAAAAGCAGACGCAGGTTAAAGAAGCACACCGGGTCTAAGTCACTAAATGAATCAAGGGCTCCCAGATGCGACGGTTGCCTCCCATCAAGTGCTTTCAATTTGACAGATTTTTGTTCCTGAGCATAATGGACCATTGGGCGAGGTCCAATAGGAGACCAGTGACCTGCTGCTGCCAGCGAGCATTTATCATCACATCTAAATTACCGGTATTAGAAAATGACTAAGTGCTCCCGTGGAACGGAGCTCCCAAATTATGGATGTCAGTCCAGCTCTGTTTGCTTCTGCTCCAGCTGTAATGTGTTTATATTCACACAGCAGGCTATAAGATTAGCCTCGCTAACAAAAACGATATATGTCACTGATGAAGAGTGGTAATATAAAGGCTATTTATGGATACAATGTGACAGAACGGCTCCATGTGCAAGCAGGGAAAAAGTGTTTTTTACAGAGTGTGATGTCGGAAACGTCCGAGCCATCCTTGGGGAGTTTAGATTTGTTTTGATGTAGCTGCTGTTAGCGAGACCCTTTTGTCTTCTGTTTTCCTCTCTCTGTTAGCCTCTTCCTGTGCATCTGATCCGGCTGCCACAACGTCAGATTGGACCAGTCGAGAGGATGGGTGTGTGTGGTCAAGACAGGGCGTAGAGCTTTGTGCTGTAGCTGTGTTGCTGCAGTACATGTTGGTCTGAACGTTTCATTCAGCAGCATTAATTGGAATTCAACACTTAAACTCGCCCTTATCAAAGACTCTTTAGCTGGGCTGCATAATTGTTTTTTAATAACCGCACTGACTGGGAGGATTAAAGTCTCGTATCAGGGAGAATATGTAAATGAATTGATTTTACTCATGCTAGCAGCATAAACATGCCAACGGTGACGGCATGAATAGGTTCACCACCTCATATCAGACTGAATTACTGGGTAAATGAATACAAGTGTTAATAGGTGCTTAATATTAATTAATGTCAGGATGTTTCAGCAAAGGGATATTAGTATTAGGCTAGCTTAAATTAATTAATCTGCCTTTTTTTTGTTTTGTGATTGTGAATAAACATTAATTACACTTTAAAAGGTGTATTTGCAGAATTACAGAATAAAAACTACCTGTGGTTTGTTCAAAGGTAAAGGTAAGGAATATTTACAGTTGAACTGGTTGGTTTAGGTAAATCTTAGATTGATGTTTTGCATACATTGATGCTACTCCTGAAAAATGTTACGAGTTGTTTCTAATTAATTTTGATTCAGTGACTGAGCAGCTTGAAACTACATTCATTACTTATTAAACCATGAAGAAGCAGAAGTTCCTCAACAGTTTATCGTTCTTCTGGATCCTGTCAAGTTGAGTACCGTATTTTTTCACCCTATAAGTCGCAGTTTTTTGCATAATTTACATACCCTGTGACTTATACACCGAAGCTACTTCTGTATGTATTTTCCATATTTATTAACCAATTTTTGGCTGAGACATGACCGTTTTCATTCATTCTGACATTGAAAATATTGAACACCACCATTTTCAGCTGCTAGATGGCACTCGAGTAATATGGCATGCCGTTGTGTCATGTAATAGGTAAAAGTGGCTATTAATGACACAATCGGCTTGCCATAGATACCTTCGTCCAGCTCGCCTGGTGCAACCGTCAAATCAGCCGCATTTCGCTGCGCCGTACCAGCGAAATGCAGCTGATTTGACCATTAACCTCCTAGGACCTGTCATCCACATATGCAAGAGTTCGGGTCTTAGGAGGTTAAAGTGCATTTACTAAGGAAAAATTCAACTGAGACACACCTTTACTATAAAGTCGAGCAAACAAATAATTGTTTTTAGGTGTTTTATCTTGTTAAATTTTAAAGAAATGCACAGAGATTCGTTCCTCTGCGCGCTCCTACTTCCGCAAATCGACTTTTGAAGTGCAGCCGATTTGAACGTCAAAGTTTATTTATTAAGGAAAAGTTAGACTCAGACACACCTTTACTATAATATCGAGCAAACAAATACCGGTAATTGTTTTTAAGTGTTTATCTTGTTAAATTCTTGTTGTACACGCTCCCGCAGCCACCATTTGGCAGCCGATCGATTTCTGGCACAACGCCGGCCCACATTTCTGGGCTGTCCCTGCTGATGCGTAACAAACGCAACGCGTCAGCGGGGACACATAATACATGTAACGCATATGGCGAAGTGACGTATTTATGAATTTTTCCACATTGTTAGATATATTTGGACTAATGCGACTTACACGGCGGTGCGATGTGTACAGTGGAAAATATGGTAAAAGTTTAAAATAGTTAGTTGCTTTGTAGTTCTTTCTCACTTTGACAATATTTTCCACCACATATTAGCCAGAATTAAATGGTCACTTTTAAACCACACATGCATTAATATTAATTTTCGAGTGTTTTTAAAATAAACTATCACCTTCAAAATGCACTGAACATGATTTAAACAAATTTAAAAACTGCAAATGCTATGTGTATATTACATTCCTGAGCTTTGATCTCATTTAGAGAAAATGTTAAAGTTGACTGTGTAGAGTGATATGGGGCTGGATATATATTGTTAATTATCAATTATGAGTTAAACTCATAAGATATGCACGTATTGTGCAAATAACCTCGTTGTTTGGGCACCACCTCTCTCTTGGAAAGGAAAATCAGTCTCTATTTACCCCAGATCAATGTAAACTGAAATGTGAGTTCTTTTCTCGTGTTTAAAGGACATCAAATCAGTTAATCCACACAGATATGCCAAAATAATCACAAATTCAGTTGATTTTATGTATTTTATTATAAAAATAATGATCTGTGATATATGTGATGAAAATTATGCATGACAAAAGTTAACTGAATAACAAAAAGCTTTGCATCAAAGGTCTAATTGATTGATTTAAATTAGTGAAACTTAAAAGGCAGACTTAGGACTGGTTTCTGTTTGTGAAGTGGTTAAATTGTATCTAAGGTGAGCTAAGTTTGTCTGATAAGTTGTGATGTAGCGTCACCAGAAAGGCATTGAAAAGTCTCTGTCCTACCAGGATGAGATGGTCAGAGCATGGTTCCAACAGCTGCTTAAAATGGTACCAGCCTCCAGACAGTCCGGTTACTAAGAGGCTGAAATCTCCTCAAAGTTCACCTGTCATCGATTAGAGGGACGAAGGTCCATATGGGAGTCAGCTGGGATTTACCACTCTGTGGTGTGATGGTTGCCTGGTAGAAAGGTGTCGCTGTACATCTCCTGAAAAGGAATGTCATTAAACAAAGGATTCTTATGGCGTTATCTTCATGGGAACGAGTCTGGGAGGAATACTCCTTTTCGATAAAGGAAGATATCAACGTAGCGAGTTCGGATGTTTCAAAAACTCCGAGGTCAGTTGAACTCTCATTAAAACGATCTGTCCGTTTCATGGGAAATGAGTTCATATTGGCAGTGAGGTTAACACAGTGATATTTTTTTTATTACATTTACATTAGTGTCAACTAAGAAGTTTGTGAGCTGAGTTGAATATTTGTAAAACGACGTCTGTTCATTCCGAAGGGAATAGCATAATCTTATTTTAACAGTTTCAAACACAAAAACTCAGGAATGATGGTTGTTTAAGGTGAGGTGAACTGTTTCTGAGGTGGTGTTCCCCTACAACTGTTTGCAATTTCTTCTTTTTACAGTTTATATGGTTTAATAAGTTATTATATTTTTGGGGCACAAAAAGTAACTAACCCTGGAGTAATGGGTAATAGATGTAGTTAAAAGTATTCAGCTGCTCGGTGTTTGGAGCAGAGTTTGTCAGGAAGCAGTTGTTGATGTACAGACAATTAGGAAACTAATAATTTAATTAAAAATGCCCTTATTGTCCCTCGTTGTAAAAAGTGGTATATATATATATATATATATATATATATATATATATATGTATATGTATATGTATATGTATATATATATACACACTGTATATACACCGGTAACACCTGAAGAAGTTTGATTGGTGGGCTTACCTCTGTAAATGAACATGAGAGTCTCCCACAAGCACATACAGAGGAGCGGGTCCTTCACCACCAGTCGAGTTAGGCGTCCTGTCAAGTGCCCGTCTGATCTCGGCATGTCGTCGATGATGCTTCCATCCCATGTGGAGAGCAGCGAATGGGGACCTCCATCCCGCTCCCTACAAACACACCGTGACTGTGGACGTTCCCTGTCCACACAGGAGAGACCGAAGCACTTCAGAGTGACCTCAGGAACTGATCACAACTATTTTTTTGCGATTACGGACTTGTGAATCTCTCTCCTACCTGTTCTTGGGCCCCAGGAGCAGCTGTCGGAAGTAGGAGCTGACCGCACACAGCACAGCTGCGTGGGCCCATCCCAACTCTTTACCAGAATCCCCGGCGTAGAACGCCACGTCGGCGAACTGCACGCCGCGCTCCAAGAGCCACTGCATGTCCTGGGAGAAGCTGGACTCCTCCACCCGGATGGGAGGAAGACGAGCTGGAAGGACGAAGGACGAGACGTGAGGCAGAGTACAAGACGAGAAGAAATTCAGCTTTTTTCTTCAGAACAGGAAGAAATGAAAGTGTTTATATCAAAGCCCAACAGGACTGTGGGACAGAAACTCCCGTCTACTTTTATCGTTGATTCCCTCTTCGGCCGACAAAGATTACCCGAATGATTCTGACACCGGCGGAGCTGAAAGGCCTTTTCTCATTAAAGAAGACAACTTTTTATAATTAACATTTATAATAAAAGGTTTAAAGCAGCGTTGCCTCTTGGCACGTCCTGGTATGCTCCTGCCTGTTTGGACCGCGCACCTCTTCAGCTGCTCTGTTTCAGCTTGCACTCGGAGCTGCTCCTGAATCAGTGACGTGATGTCAAAGCTGCACCGTGAGCGGAGTTAAGTGGTGTCCAGCAGGCGCCGATAAACATGTCTGAGAGGACTCCACGCTCTCAGTGGCTGCTTCACTTTTAAAGCAAGCGCAGCAGCAAACAGGTTGGAGCAGTCTTCAGCACCAACTTCAGCGCATGATTTCAGTAAAGTATCGCCCGTCACTGAAAGGTGAATGCACGTGATGTTTTTGCCTGTGTGTGTCCCTGTCTGTTGGCAAAATATCTAAATTCCATGAAGCTTAAAGGAAAACATAACTGGATGCACCTCTACAACCGATTAACTTTTAGAGTCAACCCCGTTTAAATCGACTGCCACAGCCAACTCGCCTTAGAAGCACATTAAATGCCTCTAATTTAATTTGCTTTACAGATATTGAGCTAAAATCTGAAAAGATAGTAGCTCAGACCAATTCACAACACATACTCTAAATGCTATTCATCATTCAAGATCTGTGCTTAAAACTTCTGCATTGCTTTATGAAGTCTGTTCTGTGTCTGTTAGCAAAATATCACATGAACAGTTGAATGGATTTGAATGAAACTTGCAGAAAGTGATCACTGGATGTACATCTACAAATGTTTAACTTTTGGAGTTGATCCAGTTCAATATGGCTACCATAGCTAATTGAAATTAGCCAACACAAGAATTACTATAACTAAATTAAATTTAGAGCCACTTAGTTGAAATTTGATGTGTTAGTAGCTGAGACTGATCCCCAACATAAACTAAAAGCGTGACATCCTGCAATACTGCGAAAACGTTATTTTCAAGTTTAAACAAACTCCATCATTTCTCAAAATAAGATTAGTTTATCTCCCTGGCAGGAAAGACAGTGCCGTGCATTCCTTTAAGGAGTGCTGGGCCTTTCACATCTTTATTCTGCACAAAACACACCAGCTGTAGTAAAAGCACAACAAAAAGATCTTTGTCGTGCGCTCACACACCTCACACAGCTCAGATCATAAATAATAAAACAAAACTGTTGGATCCGAACTCCACGCCGAGAAATCGTTCGGTTTGTAGCAACATCCAGCAGATAAAAATGACGGACGGTTTCAGATTCAATCGAACGCACATCATCCAGTTACAAGATACTGATGGCGTCTAAAAACAACTTGGATTACGGAGGTAAGGAGGGAGCAGCAGCTCGGCTCCTTTCTCTAAAACTTCGCTCCAGTAATCACACTTCCTGTGGCGAAGCTGCTCGCTGGATACGAACGTGTGGATTTCTGTGGGTTTTATCCTCTTTCCATCAGCGCGGTCGTTCATCCCCTCATAATTGGCACGTTTTGTGTTTGCAGAGCTTGAATGGCTCAGAGGAATAGTTTGATTAAGTCTGCAAAAGATCAAGTGAGTAAACGTTGTGACAAGAACATGAAAAATGCTCCATGCTTGTTCTGAAGCCTAATTGAATTTTACTATAAACTTTATAACGTGCAACAAACAGCAATTAGTTCATTCACTGAATTTAAAAGTAATTGCTAATTCAGTAAATATTTATTTGTTCATTTTGGACATTTACCAACTTTATTCAAATAGACTTTCCATGAAAATAATTTTTTTTTTGTTTAATTTTGGTTTCTGGGATTGAATTTGAACATTGTTTAAAGTTCAGAGAAATAACTGAAATTGAAATTACAACAGGTGTGAGTAGCGTTACGAAGGAGGAAAAATTGATGGTAAACTTCCAGAAATTTACTAGAAACTTTCAATGGAAGGTTAGGCTGGGAAATAATAATAAATTTAAAAAATCCCTAATTTGAAACTTTCCAAAGAAATTATGGTCCTTTTTTGGAATAAACTGGAAAATGGGGAAAGTGATTTTATTTTTTATTATCAGATTAATAATGTCACACAAATAGCAAAGGCAAAACTAAAGCGTATGATGAGTTGTTCAAGAGGCTGGACACAGGATGGACAGAGGGACTTGTATCGACTGGCAAGACAGAAGGATCGGGCTTGAAAGGATGTGCAGCAGGTTAGGCTTGTTAAAGACAGGAATGGTAATATTCTAACAAGTGAGGTGAGGAGATTTCTTGCCTTTAAGCTGCTGTATTCATACCCATCTGCTCACTACAGACTCATGTTCGGGCTGCTGTTTAATATGCCGTTTAATATACTGTATTATTTTTACATTATTATTGTTTAGTGTATTGTAGACTGTTTCTTTTTATGCTTTATATTTTTGCTATTTTTGTATGTAACTGGGACCTTGAGTACACAATTTCATTCCACCTCATGTACCACAAGTGATGCGAATGACAGTAAAGAACCTAATACATGTAAGAGTAAAAAAACTTAATGACCTAATTTTGGTGTGATGACATCACTGTGTTATTACCACACAACTTATAAACATAAGGGACTTTAAATAATTTGTTGTTGTGTTACTTTTCTAAATTCATGCACGACTTGAAACAATAATCACATTACGTGATGTTTGTTCACTGTATTCACATAAAAACAATGAAAAGTTGCAAAGTGGATGTCAGGAAAAAAACTACCACTGAAAAGTCTTAATTTTTGTACAGAAAACATCAAATTTCATTCACACAACTCCAATCAAATCTATTTATATGTTACCTGATCTTTATTGTGACTTTTTTGTCATTTGACTTATATTAAAACCAAATAAGTTTAAGTGAATGTCACAATAAAACTCTGATCAAACATTTTTAACATGTCACTATTTCAATTTGTCCCTACAGGTCCTGGTGACAAGTTATCATATTTTAGGGTTTGATGCTTCTCATTTCATGGGACAACAATGAAATTGTTGTTTTACTCAAGAATATGCTAAAATATATTTGCTCCAACTACATTTAAAATCCCTGTCCCAACCTTCAATATTAAAAAAATTAAAGTTCTGGTTTATTCTTGCCAGTTCTCATATGACGCAATAGGCCTGTCGCAATAAACAATAAATCAATTAATCACATGATAAATGAAAATTATCAACCTCGTTTTCATTTATCGGCTTCATCGTTTCTTCGCGTCTCTCTTTCTACTGAAGACACTGGATGACAAAAGGCTCAACTCCGGTGCTCTTCACTGACCCCTCCCCCTACCTTTCTCTTTAAAATCCATTTTAACCATCTAAAATCATGTTTTTGGATCGTTAAAAGCAGCTAAGCTGAGAAGCTAAGCTATGGGCTAAGCTACCGGCTAAGCTACCGGCTAAGCTACCGGCTAAGCTAACAGGCTGACCTCGGGGAATAAACCTCAGTCTTGTCAAAGCTCCAAAATTAACGGTTGAAACCCGTGCCTTCGTGAAAAAAGTTGTTTTTCTCTGCAAAAAGAAGCTGAGAACTTGTTTACAGATTTTTTTTAAATTTTATTAAAAGCTTTGTGTGACAAATGCTATGCTAAAGAGCTCAAACCACACTGAGCGTCCGCCATTTTATAAACAAAAAACGGTAACGAGAGACAGCCCATGTCACGTCAAGGGGCCTCCCTCCCATTTTTCTTAAAGAAACACGCTGCTCACTCCCTCACTATCCATCCTTCGGTTCAAACAGTCTTATACAGCCAGCCAGTGGTCAAAAAAGGTACTACACACAAAAATGAACCAACATTTCTTCTTCAATTTGACAATTACTAATTATTGTCAGATTTCAAACAATATTATCGTTTATCGCAATAATTTCTGAGGCAATTAATCGCCCAGCAAAATTTGTTAACGTGACAGGCCTAGTTTACAATTTAATTATTATACTTTAACCAATGAGTTAAAACACTTTTAAAAAACCATACAGTAAATATAATTATTTGTTGCAGCCTAAGTTTCTAAAACTGACATAGACTTATGTAGTTAAACTACAGTAAGCGCTAATAATTAGACAAACATCTAATTTTACTGACAAACTGTGGTCAAAGATTTGCATCTTGAGAGGCGAGTCTGTCTCGTTCCACTCCGAGCTGGTTAACTTTGGCACCTAACTCTCAGCCGTCGTCCTAAATCGATTTAAATGTCTCTGAAAGAAAAGAAATCTTCCGAGCTTTTTTTTGTCTCTCTTCCTGTTTCCTGTTTGAAGCGGAGATTATCGATTCACACAGAAGCTTTGTGCTCAGCTGTTTTTATGGTGATGCGGCCTCAAGAGAACACAATCCACTCAGTCCGCCCAGTAAACACACTTCTAACAGATTTGATGCAAAGGCGAGCGCTCGGCTTATGGAAATAAAAACTACAAATACACGCGTGTTGGAATGACAGCAGCATCCATCATGAAACAGCAAAGTATTTCTCTCACCTGGTTGCTCTAAGTGAGGGGGGCGGAGCTCGTTCACTTTGTTGCCTCGTCTCTTCTCGGGCCTCTCTTTGGCTTTGTGTTTCAGACACTGGATCATGAAGTACTCGAGCTGCGCAAAGCAAAAACCATCAGCTCTTCGACCTTAAGAACAACTTGTTGATTTAAGTATTACTTTGCTTTAAGCTGCATCCTCGCTTACCACGCTGCCAAAGTAGCGTCCGACAAAGACGTGATTGAGCGAGGGCAGCTCCAGGTACGTGGCCCCCAGGTCCCGGGAGAGCTGCAGACCTTCACTGTGAGGCACACAGCTGCTCCAGTCCGACGCGCACAGTGGGCACGTACAAGGAGGGCCTTCATCTGAACGCAGCGAGGAGGGAGGAGAGTTAATAACAATGCATCATGCTTTTTATGGAACATGAAACTAGTATGGATTGGACGGTGAGGGGTGATAAATCCAGAATACTAGAACACATGCAGGACATGCGAGGATGAAATGCTCGTGTTTCCCAGTGTAGATGTTCGCATCCGTCGTGGATCGATATAAACCGAGGACAGACAGTTTTCCTCACTTCTGGACTGTATGGAAACATACAGGTTTTGTGACTTGCAATGTCAGCAGCTGGAATGAGCAGATCCAAACCAGCTACATGTGGAACAAGCTGCGTGTTTGTGTGGGACGGGTGAAACGCGGACAGGTTGTGTCTACAGCGAGTCGGTCCAAACTGTGCAGAATACACAAAGAACGCACTGAAATGAGTATTGAAGTCACAGAATGCAGTTCTGATGCTTTAAACAGTGAGTCAGATTAAATAAAGTCCCAACATCTACCAGAAGTAATGCGATATATTTACTGTGTAATGAACGCGTCCTGGTCGTTTCATGTTCTGGTTTGTTTGTCCGTAAAATACACAGAATTTCACTCAACTTTTCTTTTATGTTCTTGTACTTTGGACAATTCACCTTACAATCCCTCTAACCCCAGATGTAAACCCAATGGCAGGATTATATTCTGTGATGGTAGAGACTTTCTGCACCAAAGGAGCATTTACTATTTACTGATTCTAATTCAACACCTTATATTTAAAGGAGTGTGCAGCAAATATTACATTAAAAAAAAAAAACAAGAAAACCAAAACCAGTCAAGACAGCAAGATTAAAGTCCAATTAAATGACTTCAGTTTTGTGCATCATAAAGTTTCTTTTCCATCACCACAATAACTCCAACCAGACCCGTGAAGGCTGTAAACTTCAGCACCAAACCCCACCAGAGAACCAGAGGTTCCATAATATTACACAGTAAACTCTAATGTCGTCCCCTCCTGGCTTCATATGCTCTGCTTTAACAACTTCTTATAAAAACTTTTCTTGAGTTAGCCAAAGCTGAGTCTGACTGGAGCTTATCTGCAGAAAACAGCGGTCCCTCCTTTGGAACAAGCGGAAGATAGATGGATGGAAACACCGGTCCCTCTCCTTCATGCTGCGTTTCTCTGTTCAAGTTCAAGAATCTTTTTTTTTTATCCCCAAGGGGCGATTTGTTTCACAGTCAGTAAACACATAAAACGTCCATATTAGACAAGACATTGAGATATTAAAGTAACAGTACATGAACTTATCACTGTTTGTTGAGAACCCTGATATATCCAGGGATGAATGAGTTTTTCAGTCCGTTCGTTCTGGGCAGCAGATACCTGCGTCCAGATGGAAGCAACCTGAACTCACTAGGGATGCACGATATTATCGGCATGGTATCGGCCGATATTGGCGTTAAAGTTCAATATCAGACATCGGCCATTCCGTTAAAATAACTCCCCGATATAAACGGCGCTGCTTGCATGACGTGACGTGATGAGGTCACGCACGCCCACCTGATCTGATCACGGCGGAGAGGAAGAAGTCAAAATGTCGGCGGTGTGAAAGTTTCTTTTTTTCGCTGAGGATGTCGGATTCCGAAGATTTTTGGACGACGTTGAGCTACATCGTCCCCAGTCAGAGAAATTTTTCCGACGCAGCCTTACCCGAGTTACAAGCCGTCATTTCATTGAGAAGCTAATAGCCGATGGCACTTGGGTGTTTTTTAAAAACAGACATTTGGACGTCGTGTTAGCCCCGTTAGCATGATTAGCCTTACGGCACAATGAATAGACAAAGACTTTGATCTTAAAAAGTCTGTCCTTCATGCACAGGAGTGCAGAGGATCCCACACTGCAGCTATAGGAACCTGGAACAAGCCTCCACAAGTGAGACAGCATCGCAGGTGACTAATGCTAATAAATAACATTTAACACTTTTCATTTAATATAAGTTAAAGTGCTATGCATATCATATGACTGTTACTGAATATTTGTCACCAGCTCTTACAGCTGTTACACAATTTTTGTAGCCAATAAGCCTCAATAAGAGGAATATGGTCTGACAAAGGAAAGTGTATGAAAAATATCAGTATCAGTTATCGGCCAAATAAGTTTTAACATATCGGCCAAAAATCCAATACTGTGCATCCCTAGATCTTACCATGGTGGATCTGCCAGAGTCAGCCTGCTCACTGACCTCGCCTTGTGAAGGTCAGTGAGGTTCTGTAGGACTATGCCAGCAGTTCTGCTGCACATCCTGACAATCCCCGAGAGCTTGTTCCTGTTTTTTGCATGTTAACAATCCAATCCAACAGATGAAGGTACAAGTTATCATTGCAGCTACTTTCCCCCTCTTCTTAGTTATTTCTTTTAAAGTCAACAGAAATGTAGCTAATTTACTTGTGACTGTGAGGTATTTCTGACTGTCCCTCAATGGGCGGAGCTAAAGGCAGTAAAAGTGGCAGGTTACGGTGTGCTTCACCCCACGCGAGCTCGGTTTGATGGGCAGCACTCACAGCCTCTATGATCAGGACCTCCACTACTTTCTTCAGTCACTGGGTCTGAGCTGACTTCTGAAAACCAGTCAAAACGCAGGACGTTAACTCATCCGACGGGGGAGAAAAGTGACAAAAATGCCACACAAAGCCCTCATTTCAAGTGGGGGCAAACACTTATTGTCTTATAAAAGGATGAGCATCCAAATAACAAAACTCAGCTGCAGCTTCTGCACTACAGCCAGCTGCACTTTGTCTTGTTTACACAGACACCAAGCAGGAACGAATCAAACAACGAGGGGGATTATTCTGTAGGAGAACAACAAAAAGCCTGCAAAGTGTAGAAAAGGCAGAATGAGCAGGACGTGCAGCCAAGTGCTGAGATAAATCATGCAGCTAATAACCTGCAGGCATGGCACAGAGACGGAGATGTGCTGAGTGTGTGTCTGTGAGTGAGAGCAAAGGAGGTAGAGGAGTTCATAGGAGTGTGTGTGTGTGTCCGACAAGAAGTGACTTGGCATATCGGCCGTATAGTCTTGTAAATGAGCGTGCCCTTGGATAAGCGCTGGTTTATTGGCTGTAGTAACGCACGTACAGTAGCACGCTGCCACAGCTGCACCTCAGGAGGTCTAAAGCCGAGCAGCAGGGAGCGCTCGGAGCCGAGCTGTTGCTCCAAGGGACAGAAACAAAACTCGCAGCGGCCAGGGACAAAAACCACAAACAAAGGACGGGGCTCGAAGTTAATCACGCTTCGCTCCGTCTAGCAAAGACTCACGCGGTGATCCTGCTGCTCTGAAGGAATTTCAAAGTGTGTTGAACAGATAAGAACTTTATTGATCCCTCGGTAAATCGTTGAATAAGCTGCACATCCATTGTCGTTATGCGCTTCTTCCTTTTTGAGTCACGGGAGTCACTGGTGCCCATGACTAGCACGCTGTACAAGAGTTGGTCTCCAGTCCATCACAGGGACATAGAGACACATAGAGACAAATGAGACGAACAACCACAGGGACAATTTAGAGTTACCAATCAGCCTAACGTATGTTTTTTGGTCTGTGGGAGGAAACTGGAGTACCCGGAGAAAACACAACCATGCACCGAGAGAACATGCAAACTCCACCCAGAAAGGCCCCCGGACCGGGATTTGAACCAGGGACCTGCTCGCTGAGAGGCAGCAGCTCCACCAGTTGTGCCACCGTGCCGCCACAGAGAAGCTAAATATATCTCCAAGTGTGTTTGATGGGTTTGTTTACAGGTTCTGGGTTCACCAGGGGTCCGTGTGTCAACTAAAACACACACATGTATGTTATTACCTAATGCGTGTAATGGTCAGGCTGAAACCAAGCGCCCTAATCTACTTACAGCAGGAAACGCACTACGGACGTGCGCTTCTGAGCCATGGCGGTGAGTTGCTTACTGCTCGTAACGCTTGAAAAACCAGGAACTGCATGTTTTGCTTTGGTGGGTTTCCTTCAGGGAGGCGTGTGAGCCAACTGCCTGAAGGAAACCCAGGGGAGCGTTTTAATCACGAGCGTCCTTCTCGTACCAAGGAGGGAGGACACTGAGGACAGATTCAGACAGAGATCCCATCAAAGCATCAAACAGCAGAGGCAGCAGTGAGCTCACCCCTAAAGACTACATCAGTATAAGTGCTATGTGTCGTCACTGTATGTTCCCATACAATGGTGAAACTGGTTCCCATCACATGTGAGATGCACCCAGGTGGAACAGTGGGCAGCTATGCAAGTGCCTGGGCAGCAATTAGGGATTAGGTGTCTTGCTCAGAGACACCACAGCATGTGGGAATGGCTGGGGATCGAACATGGGACTTTCGGGTCCCAAGCGGCAGCCCTAGTACGTGAACCACAACGGCTACAGGAATCTGTTCACACATGACGATGGCAAAAACCGAACTCAACCCGACGCTGACGAAACGCTCAGAGCAACGGCGTTCTCACCATTCAGCCGAGCTCCCACAGCAACAAGGATGACCGGTACACCCCAGTGCCTCAGGAGAGGGCGAAGCCTCGGGGCGAAACTGTTTCGGACCTGCTGGAAGGCCAGCTTGTCTGTGACAGAATATTTAATGACCAGGATGTCCGCTTGCTCCAGGACCTTCCGTACGCTGGCCCAGTCGCTGTCCAACAGGTCCTAGAGAAAGAACAGGAAACAAGGGACGCTGCATGAGGAACGCAACATACAGATTTAACCTCAGCACCAACGTTACCCCTCAGCGTTGGGACTTTACCCCCCAGAGACCTGCAACTGCTCTCCCATGACGTGGACTGACAGCCCTATAACAGGACGTGCTGCTGCAACTGGGACTCATTTAAACAAAAGTTCTGTCATCAGGAGGTTTCTTTGTGCACTGCAGCCTAAAATAGCACGTTTCAGTTTGAAAGTGTGGGGTGCACGTCTTCTGAGGAGCACATTATCAAAGTGAGCAGCATGTCAGCAGAGTGGCAGCACCGTCTTAGAATAACCACACCGCCGTTCTCGAGTGGGCTTTGTGTTTAAAACCTCAGCAGCACCATCTCTGTCTCCGTCCACTTTGGACACCAGGTGTCTCTTACCCAGCTGGGACAGTCTCGAACCACCACAGTAACATCCCCAAACGCACGCGAGGTGTACTCCATGAAGGCCGGGTTGTGCAGGCTGCCCTCCAGGTCGCAGGGACCCACCAGGGCTCCGTGACCCAGGTAGCTCCACAGCAAGCCCCCCTGCAGCTGGCCCTGGCCCACGATCTCCTCCCCAGAGCCGACTCCTCCGGGACACTCGCTGCCCAGAGCCACGATGTGGATGGACCTGCGGGGCACAGCGTGGAGGCCGGTTATACCTGGGGGGGGGGGGCACTGAATCACGGTAACGACTCGCAGCTTCACTTACATGGTGGTTTAGTTCCGCTGTTTGACGCTGTGCTCCGTGCACCGGCGCCTCCTCCGCGCCAGTCCGCAGTCACGGTCGCTGTTTTCCGCAACGATCCGCGGCTCTGCGCCGCTAGTCCCTCCCGCCGGCCGCCGGCCCCCCGGGAGCCCCACGGCGGAGCTCAGCGGTCACTCGCATGTCTCCGTGTCCGTGTTCATTCACAAAAGCTGAGCTCGACACTCGTCCCGGAGCCGCAGCGGGCAGGAGGCGCGCCGGACAGCCCGAGCAGCGGTGGTGGGTGGGGGGGAACAGCAGCGCCCATGGGCGGCGGAGGCGCCACCGAACAAGTTGTCCGCCGCAGAAAACAACAATCCCGGACCGAGCTGTGTGAAGAGGGGGGGGGTGAACCGTCACCGTGTCTGACTCAGCAACACGCACGCGGCTCAGACGCAGCAGCGCGAGGCAGGCAGCGCACACACCGAGCTGCTCCGGGAGGAGACACCTTAAGCACCGCTCGCGTCGCCGGCTGTCCGTGTCTTCATGGAGCCACGGTGTCTGAAGAACATCTGGAAGCCTTTTAAATTAAAGTCTACTGCTTGTCCATTTCTTTGAAAGGGGACAAAATCAATGTCAGTGTTCCTGCTTAGCCACTTGTACTAAAATGTCCTGAAGCATGCTCAATAATCCAATGTAGGAAAATCTAACGAAGTGGAGTCTGGCCGGATTAAAAAAAAAACACAATTTCTTCTTTTATCCAAAAGGAGCCGCACTAAACTCAGTTTTATAAACGTGGATCAATAGTAGTGTTGCCAGATCTCGCGATAGAAACAAGCAGCTCTATGAAAGTCAAAGCCCAACTGGCAACCCTTGTGTAAAACAGACGCCATTTTTAAACAGTATAAACATGCATTTATTATGGCATTACAAATAAACAACAGCAAAATCATATGCTAAACACTTTGAATAACATACTTTTAAGCTCTGATTTAAAAAAAGCACCAAAAATCTTTTTTTTTCTACATATTTTTATAAACGGAACATCCTGACATCTGCGTGTGAGTGGAGCCCCCTAGTGGTCGGCCACAGTATGAGGTTTTTTTTTTTTCTAATCTTTATTTAGAACTTTACTTCAAATACAATCTAAAAAATACACAGTATGAGTGTTTGTTTGGGTGTGCGCCTGTCGCCGCCATCATGGGTGGAGCAATAAACAGGAAACGGAGGCGTGGATGGGACAAACTACCTACTAGTACCAGTCATCTTTTGCTTTATTGTGCAGAGCTGGGAGATAATCAACTATCACTCGGAAAGAAAGTCAAGTCCAAATAATCAACTTCACGTTCAAAACCAAGCCCAAAAAAAAAAAACGACTCACAAGATTTACAAGCGACTTTTGAAAAACAAACAAGCCCAAAGTCGCTTGATAAACAGACTTGGCAACACTGATCAACAGTTTGCTGTTGGCATCCAGAACTAGTTGTTCACATGATAAAGGAGGACCATCAGCCTAATGAATGATCGTTAGTGCCCTGACCACTTACTATTCACAGAGGGCTGAGTGATGCTAGCAATAACTGCATTGTAAGAAGGAGACGATTGGACTCTGTGAATAGCAAGCGGCCATCATGGCACTGGTGTTCAGTCGTTAGGATGATGGTCCTCCTTTATCACGTGAACAGCTAGTTTTGGCTGTCACCAGCAAATTTATTGATCCACTATGCTACGTATGCTCCGATCAGGTTTTTTGCTGTCGATCACCAATACCGATCACATGGAATGGCTGTAATTTTTTTGATTTAGTTAAGATGAGTGCTATGTGATCTGAAAAAAATCACCTTAATTTGGACAAAAAACTTGTTTTTATTTAACAACAGTGGCAGATCACATACTTTACAGGAAATCGGCGGCCGATCAATCTATTTATAAGAATGAGTTTAGTGCAGCTCCTCAGACTGACGAAGTCTTTTGGATAAAAGATGAAACGTTTCAACAATTTTTAATTATTTTTTTTATCTGTCCAGAAGACCTGACAACTTGGTTAGACTGTACTTAAAATGTTAACAAATTTTGAATCTGATGTCTACAACACACTTTCACAAATTTGTGGGGAAGACTAAATGTGAGCAGAGATTATGTAAATTACCACGGCCTTGGAAGTACAGGTGCAAAAAGTGCTGAAGCATCTACCAAAGGACACCTGAGGACACGCATGTCCAAATACATATTTCAAGAATTCGTTAAAAACCAGGTTTGCACTTTGTAAGTGTATATCTGTGAGTAGTGTGAACGACTCAAGTGAACCAGATTCACCAACTCTAGTTTTCATAGTAACGCGTTAACCTTTTTGCAGCTATAACGCGAAAAAATCACCACATGCGCAAAAACAAGGTTCACAGGTGCTTCAGGTATTCAAGTTTATCGTTTACTCCTGCTTGTTATGGACTTTTGTATACAAACCTATTTAAAAATGAGTTTTATTGGTGCTTTACGTTGAGATAGTGAAAAGTCCTCAATGTGCGATGTTGCCAGAATGACCTCAGAGTACAGATGTAACACAGATACATATGAACAGATTAAGTGTGGATCCACACCAAACAATAAGAAAAAGTGAACACAAAGATGAAACATCAAATTTAAGAACAATTTCTAATAATATGTTATCAAATGAGGAGGCCACGGTCAGTTACAGTAAGGTATATACACAAATGACAAACACATTTTGATTAGATGTCAACATTTTAAGAAGGCATGGACCTATAGGCTACAATGTGCGTGCATTAGTAACTTGCATATACACAGCGGCATGTCTTAACAGGAAGAGATATTTTATGTCTGAAAACAACCAAATACAGGTACATGTTTACCTACATTAGCCTAGCCTGGACAACAACTTGGGTCTTTCTCCTGACTTCATATTGTTTAACAATATATGCACTTAACTGCATATATGGTATTTGGTTTTAAAATATTCTTCACGTGGGCAGCACGGTGGCGCAACTGGTAGAGCTGCTGCCTCTCAGCGAACAGGTCCCTGGTTCAAACCCGGTCCAGGGGCCTTCTGGGTGGAGTTTGCATGTTCTCTCCGTGCATGCGTGGGTTTTCTCCGGGTACTCCGGTTTCCTCCCACAGACCAAAAACATGCATGTTAGGCTGATTGGTAACTTTAAATTGTCCCTAGGTGTGAGTGAGAGAGTGAATGGTTGTTTGTCTCGTTTGTCTCTATGTGTCCCTGTGATGGACTTGCGACCCGTCCAGGGTGTACCCCGCCCCTCGCACAGTGATTGCTGGACATGGGCACCAGCGACCCCCGTGACCCAAAATGGAATAAACGGGTAAAGATAATGGATGGATGGATGGATATTCTTCACGTGAGCGTTTGCGCCCAGAGCAATGCAGTTTTGGTCAATTCTTTGATGGTTTTACCCATTGTCACTAATTAAAGGTGGCTGGCAGATGAGAGTGGCATGCTGAGTTTAAAGGAGTACCGTATTAAAGCTTTATCGCCACCTTGTTGATTCAGAAAAATATTCTCACTGCAAAAAAGCAGAGTATTAGTTTTTTCAGCACCTATAATACTGCGAGAAGGGTTTGAGGGAGTTTTGGTGCTAAACGAAGCCCAAAGGCAGAAATCACTGCAGGCTGAACTTTACGCTCAAACCTCCAGGTGCATGAGGATTCAAGGTTCTTTACTGTCATTTCATCACATGTGGTACATGAGGTGGAACAAAATTATGTACACAGGGTCCCAGTTACATCCAACAAAAGATCTAAGATGCACGCTAATCACTAATAGTACAAAACAATACACCGAACAGCAGCTGCTCAATTCTCATATACAGTATTCTGTTCGGTTATACCTAAGCAAGCAACAAAAATACAAAAACAAGGCGCCAAAAGTGAAAAAGAAATAAATCTACAGCAGCATGGTCCTATCCACTGGTTAACTGGTCATCATTAACTTCACACAGACTCTCCCACTGGTATATTTTCATCTTTAAATCACTTCTTGGTCTGTTGCCTTCATGAGTGCAGCTACAGCGTGCGCTCTCAGGACATTATTACCTGCAGTGTCCCCTCAGTGCGGACTGAACTAGGAAAAAGGACCTTCTCCTACTCCGCTCCTGATTCCTGAAATATCTTGAAAAAAGATCTGAAGCTCTCGACCTTTGACCTCTCTAAGTGGCTTCAAACATCTGTAAAGTTCATGGGAAAAACCAACACTGACATTATACTGCTTTTAGTTTTCTACATCGCCTTATAATCGAGCTGTTTTTTTAAACATTTTTTAATTAAAACCCATTTTATTTTCACTTGTTGTTCTCAATTTGTACGCATCCTTTTATGATTGTGTCTTTGTTGTCCACTGTTGTCATCGCTTTTTGTTAAAATCAGGGCTCTCTTGTAAATGACTCCCTGAGGCTCAATGGGATTAACCTGTATAAACAAAGGTTGAATTCTGGCAGAGTGGTTCTGATGACAGTGAGGTTTCTCTTAGCAACATGGTCCAGTTGGCCCTCCAGAACCAGGTCCGGCAGATGGAGAACATCCAAGGTTACCCCCTGGAACCGAACCAGTCTGTAGAGTTCGGTCCGTGCAGGCAGATAGAGGATCATGGAGACAGCCTCCATGACAGGCCTGAGCCCAAGCCTGGGAGGACTTGAACCACGATGGCAGGGCAGCAACACAGAAAACTCCACAAGTGCGTCACGGTCATACCCGTACCATGGATGTGTAGTGTAGGCGCAAAAAAAAAGTTAAAACAACAACAGGAACAAAAAAGATCAAATTCACCAGGAGCCTGTGAAGCTGCGGCTCGGCTGAGCGCGGCCATCTTGGCATAAGAAACCGCCAGTGAGATCAGCATGGGCTCATGGTTTTTATGTTATTATAAAGCCACTCAGACCAACTCTTCGCTTCGTCTAGAAATGTAGTCTGTGATAATGTTTTGGTAGAAGTCCTGAATCAGTTCTGCTCGAACAGAAGGATGAGTCCACACAGTTCAGTTCAATTTGTGCAGAAAATCAAGAAGGAATTAAAGCAGACCAAACGGGATGTTGTCAGCAGAAGATGCAGCAGCATCTGTGACAGCTTGGAGGAGGATCGGTGGAATGAGTCACATCCGGGTGGCGGCACCATTGTTACAGAGATATAAACTCATTTTGGTCGTGTGCTAGCTCTCTCCAAAACTCTCTGTCTGGAAGATTTTGTAGTCATTTTAGCAGAACTGTCCACATATTGTTCTCTTTTCATTGTTTTAGAGGAAGAATAGCTGGAGGATTTTTAAAATTTTTTAACCAGAGCCTCCTGTGTCGTTTACAACCACACAACGTAATGCAGAACGTCAAACAGGGCGCTGCATTTTAATTCCCTGCTTACAGAGAGCATGCAGCTCACACTGCTGTTCCTCAGGAACTCCTGCTTTGCAGTCTCCTCACACGGTCGGCTCTTGAGTTTGACAAACAAGCATCCTTTGACCTATTGCGAATGACAACCTGCAGACAAACGGCTTCGGCACAGAGTCAAGATGTTTAATTAGGAGGAACTCTGAACCCATGTCATCCAAACCCACACTTCACTTCCATGATCTTCATTTAATCTCCAGTCCTGTATTAATTTTATTTTTTTTATTTTATTTGAAGCATCACTCGAGCCCCTCGTTACAGTGTCTCAGGCCTTTGCACATCTGGTTCCATGTCACCGTCTCGCTGCGAATTAGCAAAAGTAATCTGATTATTGCAACCTGCCTCGACCTTTTACACCACATTGCCACAACCAGTTTAGTTTACACTGAATAAAACTTTAAAATGAGTTTATGTTTAGACTTTTCTCAGAATCCACGATCAAACAAGATTAAAGTACATGCTGTGGCCTCAGGGCCGCTGTAAGAATATGAACGACTCTAAATACCTGTAATAAAAAACATCATAATGCTAAATAAATGCGATGAAATGCAGAGCATGTTAGCTTATGTAAATATGGAAACTTATAAATCCAGTATGCTGTTTTACGTCATGATTTATCTGACAACTTTTTAATGAGTTTTAAGAAGTTGTAAAATTTTTAGTTTATACACCAGATTTACAAAACACAATAACTTCTAATTATTATTGGAATTTAAACACATGCAATGCTATTGACATGCTTTAATGTAATTTAAATTGATTCATTAGCTATTCATTTGCACATGCGTGTCGTCTAGCATCCATCAGGGATGCAACTTTTTCTCGTGATCGGATCACTTTTTATTTCTGTGGTGGGACAGAATAAACAACAAATCCTCATTCCTCATCATTTATGTAGCTTGTCTGTGTTATCATTGTGAGATAGACATAAATAATACAAAATGTAGTCAATATTTTTGCACAATTTTTTTTTTTACATAAAATAATTTCTACTCCAGGTCTGTGTTGGTCAGTGTTGATAGTTTATTCACATCAGTTCAGTTATTGTATATGTAACGCATGAGAAAAAAGCTGAAAAGAAAGTGCATTGCTCAGATAAAAACGATCCTGACGCAGTCTTCACACGTCGTCCTCGTCCATAACGAGTGTGTCGTCATCTGCCGCTCCAGCTTTGGCTCGTTCAATCTTGCCTTTTTCTCCTTGGTAGTAGTCTGAGTCGATCCAGGCTGGCTGCAGGCACAGCTTCACGAAGACCTCCCCGTTCTTCTCTGTGACCGTGTGGGTCCGCTGCTTCACACCCTTGGAGTACCATCTGAACACAGGTGGTTTCTCCGTGGGGTTCCTGCCCCTGTACCAGCCCTCGCCCTCAGCTAAAGAGATCTTGTACTTGTGCTTCGGACAAATTATGCACAGATTGCCGTTAATTTCCTGGGTGTGCATGTGTGTGTGGTGGGGGTTATGTTTAAAGAGAGAAAACAGGAGGTAATATGTTAATGTTATGCAAATTTACATCATAATATATATATATATATATATATAGTCTCAGTCCAGCTGTTGTTTGTGTTTAAATATGGAAATGTGAAACCAGCAATGAGTTGGAGCTTAATCCTAATCTAGACGACAATAAAGACATTTTCTTTTGCATCAAAGACAAAACATTTAATATTTTACCTCAATGTCTCCATTCTGCAACATCCCCCCAGCATCTGTATGAAGGACAGAGGGCGGCTTTATTGGAGAAAAGGCAGCTAAAAGTAGCTGTGCTGCTTCCAACATGCAAGAAGTGGTCAAATATTCAATGGGTCCAAAAATATTTCAAGTCTTAGAATACTCTTGTAAATAATACAAAAATTACGTATCAGTGCAGCTTTCCATATAGGCTCAAATTCAATATTTTTTTTTTTTTTTAAGAATATAAGTAAATAAATAGATAAGTAATGTTTTGTTAACTAGTGCAATAACAGGGCCAACCCAGAGCAGAGCAGGTACTGTCATTTTGATTTTATTATTATTATTATTATTAATGTATTTTCTTACTCGGGGACATTTTCCAACAGTTTTTGTTTTATGATGTCATGTTGGCGCAGTATGGGCAGATTGTGATTTGGAGTTAAAATAGGCATAAATTCCATCCACGTTGTGAGAGTAATGAACTTCCACAAACTGGATTTATTTATTTATTTTACTTTATTCAGATTGTAAACAAGATATTATCTCTGGAACAATCATGGGTTTCAAAAAATTAAATAACAAAGAAAAGCTAAATTGCTTGATGCTTACCTGCCTCAGGGTATTCCACAATTAAAATTAGATAATCTAATCTATTGCCAGACTACATCAACAACAATAAACAAGCAAAGAAAAACAAACATTTGTTTGTGTTAGCATTTAATGTTTGAATCCTTATCAATAAAAGGAACATTATTCATTTCAGCTAATTTCAGCTGTTTTTTCAGCTGTTTTGTGCTCCTTTCAGCTTTATTCAGCTAAGTCCTACATTTTTGTGCTTCTTGGAACTAATTTCTGCTAATTCAAGCTTGTTACGCTCCTTTCAACTTATTTCTGCTAAATTCTGCTAATATTTAGCTGTTTTATGCTAATTTCAGCCTTTTCCGCTAATTCCACATTTTGTGCAATCATTAAACTTTTTTCAGACTAATTCAGCATATTCATGCTCTACCCACTTCCTTCAGGTAAATTAAGCTTCTTTCTGCTTGTTTTAGCTACTATTCAGCTGCTTTTGACAAATTTCAGCTTTTCTCATATAAGTTCAACTTCATTGTGCTAATTTCTGTCTCTTTCAGCCTTAGAGGGCACAGTTGTGATCACATAACTTCCTTTTGGTAATTTAAGCTTCTTTCTACCTTTTTTCACTACTATTCAGCTGTTTTTGGCAGATTTTGTCTTTTTCAGCTAATTTCTACTTTTTGGTGCTATTTTGCGTGAGTGGGCACAATTATCCTCTCTCCACTTCCTTTGGGTTATTTAAGCTTCTTTCTACTATTTTTTTAGCTACTATTCGGCTTTTTTTGCAAAAATCTTTTTTTTTTCAGATTATTTCCGCTTTTTGTACTCATTTCTGTTTCTTTCAGCCTAATTAAGCAAACTTGTGATCTCTCCACTTCCTTCTGCTAATTTATTCTTCTTTCTATGTTAGCAAATACTCGGCTGTTTCTTTGTTAATTTCACCTTTGTTAAACTAGTTTAGTCTTTGTTGCGCTCATTACTGCCGATAGAAATCAGCAATTCAGCAAATACTTGCTTTTCTGATTTTTTATGCTAGCTTAAGCTTGTTTCAGCTACATTTCAGCACATTTTAAGCTCATTGCAGCAGTTTTTCAGCAAGTTCTTCAGCAATAAGCATTCACACTGCATTTTCGCAGGAAATGCAATTTCTCTAGTTTCAAATTGTATGTCTGTGTAAAACTTAAGAACAAGTATCTTACCTGTCATAGACATATAGCTTTTTGTACATTTAAAGTTTGGAGAGTCTAAGTCTGAACAGGCTGATGAGCTAACGGCTAGTTTGAAGGCAGCTAAGACCAAAATAAACTGCTGTTGCCATCTTGAAACAAATTCAGTCTCTGAAACTTTAGAGTGGCTCGTGCAAACTGTGCCATTACTTTTACATCACATTGTTGAAATCTGTGCTTATCTGCAAGTACAAGTTGCAGAAGCAGCAGCTAGCTTTAGCACTTTTAGTGCAGACTTCCTGCAAGAATGCAATATTTCTGCTGAGTTAACTATGCAAATCAAAACTCATTCATTCAACCTTTATTTATACTTGTTGATCCCATTGAACCTTGGGTGCTCATTTACAAGAGAGACCTGAATGACGGAGGTCTAAAAGTTTTTGGAACTTCTACGGGATTTTTTGTCATAAACCAACGAGCCACGTTGCTTCCCCTGACAGTGATGTCAAACCAGAAACTATATTCAGAACATCTTGTTGAACTATAGCTAATGTTTTGCACAGACTATTAGACATGCAGTGGAACTTTCTTAAAGAATCAAGATATTTTGCCACTTGTGAAATGAATACTCACGGTAACAGTAACAGTCTAAAGCGTAGAAGACCCCCTGATGGTGGATGATCAGTACGTCTCGACCCTCTATTGTTCTTAAAGAGCGCTTCGCTGCAATCAGTTCATCCTTCTTGCCAACAAACTGAAGACCTTCTGTGGACTGCTCTTTCTCCTCCATGGCTCTGTGGTTCAAGAACAAACAAACAAAACAAAAAAATCACAATTTATCATATGTATTTTAAAAAATCACTTTTGTTTTACAAGTCTTCCATATTAGGTGCTTATGTCTCACCATCATAAACACTGTTTGTACAACATGCTATCTCTGATGAGAGCTTCCTCTGCATCCCTCCTTGTGGTGTGTTTGTCACCAGGATTACGTTGCTGGCGCCTCACGTCTCAGTTGTCATCTTAAGTTAAGACTACAACACATCCAGAACGTTCAAGCAAGATCATGTCTCGACACTGATCAGCTCTTCTCCCCACCTGCTGCAGTAATCTCTACCTCAGAGTCATTCAGTAAATATGAAGAAGATCAAAATGATAATCCAATCGAGCATGCAGCGACTCGGGCATGTGACCCACATGGAATGGCCCGTTCAGACTCAAGGAAATGATGTGAATTCGTCTGACATCGTTCAGCTCAGAGGCCACAGTTCTACACCGTGGCTTTGTGTAATCTTCATGGAGGCACTGTGCACCAAAAATATCCAGAAGCAAAGATGATTCATGTATAGCAGACTGGGGCAGCACAGGCTGAATCAGCTCAGTGGTAGCAGCAAAAGTTACATTTCATTAAGCCACAAAGCAAACAGCTTCACGCAAACCACCCTGCATAAAAAAACCTCTCCCAACAAGCCTCGAAGGATTATCGTTTAAGTATTTTTCTGTCAGTTTGCATCTCTTTATACTTATATGTATTTATTTAAGTGTTTTGCTTGAAAGCAACAAAGCAATTTTCCTCCGGTTGTGTCTTTACCTTGAAACTCAGCAGCTGTGTCTCCTTTGTCCGAATGAGCGATTGCTCTGCTGACAGCTCGGGGTTTCATGGCGAGGAGGGTTCATCTCTATTATCTTCACGCGCAGGCGGTCTTCAGTTTGCCCAGCCTACTCTGGGCCTGGTTCTTATCAAACCCCTGTCAGACGGGAGCATCTCTCCATTGATCTGGTGACATTGAGCATATTCGCCTCACATGTGGAGTACAGCAGCTGTTTGACTGTAAATGAGCAAGTTTTCTCACGTTTCCCTTTGTTGAGCATGCGTTATGAGGCAAATGTCTCAGCCTTTAATTAATATACAGTCTATTATTAAATTCTGCAAGGTATTTTGTGTATCTGTAGAAGATAGGTCTGTGAAATGTTTATTTTAATAAAAATAAAGATGCCAGTCCAGTCATCCCTTCGGCCCAGTGATGCCGCTTCGCTCTCGCTAGATTGCCTGACCTATTAGAAAGTGGCTGGGCTGCAGCAAATTTGAGGGAATAAATCTGAGATGCTTTTTAAGTCAGCCACGAAAAATGCTATCACGTACCCTCATGACCACATTGTACCCTGCAGATGCTTATGTAGGCTGAGACCTCCAATAGGTAGTGGGTTAGTTTGCTGCTGGGATGGAAACTACTGTCTGCCCCTATTCTGGGCAGCCCGCCACAGAAAGTCTGCAGCTAAGTAGGAAAAAGGTACAGCTCAAACTCCAGGTTACAGCTGAGCAGCTGTTGCAAATGGAAGAAGTGGGGAAAAAGGTATTTTCTTTGTAAGTAGAGCGGAGGAGAAAATTTGCAGGTGAATCAGATTATTGTCTGTGATGTAGATGTTTTATCTGTCTGTCATGAAATCTGTTAATTAGTTGATTTTTGTATCAAAGGGGAGTGGTGGCGCAGAAGTTAGAGAAGGTGGGCCTACGATCGGAAGATCGCCGGTTCAAGCCATAGTACCGACAACATCAAAAATGTGGGTGTGGTAGGTGAAGCACCCACACCTGCCCCCAAGCTCATTCGTCCCACTCTGGGCCCTTGAGCAAGGCCCTTAACCCCCACCATCTGCTCCTCCATAGCAGCTCTCTGCTCCACACAGAGGCTGTGGCAGCTCGGTGTCTGTGGTTGCGTCAGGAAGGACATCCGGCGTAAAAATAACTGCCGAGTCTTCGTGCGGCTGAGTTCGCTGTGGCGACCCCTGAAGAAGGGAGCAGCCGAAAGAAGAAGAAGAAGTTGATTCATGTATCAATTCTTACCTGCCACATGGTCAGGCGGTGTTTTGTAACCAAAGTAATCAGAATACTGTACTGTACTTTCATTAATCCCAGGAGGAAATTGAGTTGTTAACAGTTCCTTCGTGCACAGGTATAACAATGTAAACATACAAAGAACATCAAAATACAGATACAGTACATCTGAGTGAGAATGAAATAATAAGAAGATTTTTTTAAATAAGAAAATTTAAATATATAGGGTAGCATGGGGGCTCAGTTGGTAGAGCTGTTGCATGTCAGGGAGAAGGTTGCGGGTTGAATCCTGGCCGGGATAGTCGTCCCGTTTCCTCCCACAGATCAAAAACATGCATGTTAGGCTGACTGGTTACTCTAAATTGTCTCTACTGAGAGAGTGAATAGTTGTTTGTCTCTGTGTCCCTGTGATGGACTGGAGACTTGTCCAGGGTGTCCCCCGTCTCTCACACAGTGACTGCTGGATATGGACACCAGTGACCCCCATTAACCCAAAAAGGAAAAAGCAGGTAAGGATAATTGATGAAGGGATGGATTTATACAATATGTACATTCTATACATTTGAAGTATGTGACGCTCTAGTGCAATGATGAATATGTGCATATAGTGCTGACAAGGTAAGCTATCCAGTGTGTTACCAAAATCTCTGACACTCACAGGGAGGAGTAGTTGGATGGCCACAAACAGAAATGACTTGCTGTGGCGCTCTGTGGTACATTTTGGTGTTCTCAATGTTTCACTACACAGTCTCTTGTGTTTGGCCAGCACAACATGGAGAGAATGGGTGACTATGTCCAGAATGGCATGTAAATGGTAAATGGACTGTACTTATATAACGCCTTTTTATCTGATCAAGATACACAAAGCTCTTTACAACACAACCTTTGTCCTCCTTTACCCATTCATACAGCACTCTACTAGATCTACAGAGCTAACTGAACAAATCATTCTAAAGAGACTAATCTACGGAAGCCCTAAGGTGTACATGAACAACATCTGAAAAAGCAAAAAAAACACAACAATATTTGAAAAAGTGGAATCACATTTGAAAAACTGAATTACATTAAACCAAAGCAGAAGTGGCCGAAACAGAAGTGGCCAGAATCACATTAGAAAAAACAGAATCACATTAGAAAAAACAGAATCACATTAGAAAAACAGAATCACATTAGAAAAAACAGAATTACATTTGAAAAAACATAATCACATTAGAAAAAACATAATCACATTAGAAAAAACAGAATTACATTTGAAAAAACGGAATCACATTAGAAAAAACAGAATTACGTTTGAAAAAACAGAATCACACTAGAAAAAACAGAATTACATTTGAAAAAACAGAATTACATTTGAAAAAACAATTACATTTGAAAAAACAGAATCACATTAGAAAAAACGGAATCACATTAGAAAAAACAGAATCACACTAGAAAAAACAGAATCACACTAGAAAAAACAGAATCACATTAGAAAAAAACAGAATTACATTTGAAAAAACAAAATCACACTAGAAAAAACAGAATTACATTTGAAAAAACAATTACATTTGAAAAAACAGAATCACATTAGAAAAAAACTGAATTACATTTGAAAAAACAGAATCACACTAGAAAAAACAGAATCACACTAGAAAAAACAGAATCACACTAGAAAAAACAGAATTACATTAGAAAAAACAGAATTACATTTGAAAAAACAGAATCACACTAGAAAAAACAGAATTCCATTAGAAAAAACAGAATCACACTAGAAAAAACAGAATTACATGAGAAAAAACAGAATTACATTTGAAAAAACAATTACATTTGAAAAACAGAATCACATTAGAAAAAACGGAATCACATTAGAAAAAACAGAATCACATTAGAAAAAACGGAATCACATTAGAAAAAACAGAATCACATTTGAAAAAACAGAATTACATTTGAAAAAACAGAATCACATTAGAAAAAACAGAATTACAGTTAAAAAAACGGAATCACATTAGAAAAAAAACAGAATTACATTTGAAAAAACAGAATCACATTAGAAAAAACAGAATTACATTAGTAAAAACAGAATCACATTAGAAAAAACGGAATCACATTAGAAAAAACAGAATTACATTAGAAAAAACGGAATCACATTAGAAAAAACAGAATCACATTTGAAAAAACAGAATCACATTTGAAAAAACAGAATCATATTAGAAAAAACAGAATCACATTAGAAAAAACAGAATCACATTAGAAAAAACGGAATCACATTAGAAAAAACGGAATCACATTAGAAAAAACAGAATCACATTAGAAGAAACGGAATCACATTAGAAAAAAACAGAATCACATTAGAAAAAACAGAATTACATTTGAAAAAACGGAATCACATTAGAAAAAACGGAATCACATTAGAAAAAAACGGAATCACATTAGAAAAAACGGAATCACATTTGAAAAAACGGAATCACATTAGAAAAAACGGAATCACATTAGAAAAAACGGAACTACATTAAGCCATAGCAGAAGTAGCTGAAGTGGAAGTGGCCCGAGTCACATTAGAAAAAACAGAATTACATTTGAAAAAACGGAATCACATTAGAAAAAACTGAATTACATTAGAAAAAACGGAATTACATTAAGCCATAGCAGATGTAGCTGAAGTGGAAGTGGCTCTAATCACATTAGAAAAACAGAATTACATTTGAAAATAACGGAATCGCATTTGAAAAAATGGAATGACATTAAGCCAAACAGGAAGCTTTTTTTTTTACATTATTAACTTTATTATTTTTATTATTATTATTATTATTATTATTATTATTTATTAACTTTATTTTTCAAATGTGATTCCGTTTTTTCAAATGTAATTCCATTTTTTCTAATGTGATAAGGGCCACTTCCGCTTCGGCTTAATGTAATTCTGTTTTTTTCAAATGTAGTTTTTTTTTTTTTTTTAAATATTGTGATTTTGTTGTTTTTGTTGTGTTTTTTCGAATGTTGTTCCTTTACACCTTAGGGCCACCGTCAGTGCTTTATCACATTCATACACCGATAGGTCACACATTGGAGGCAATGAGGGGTTCAGTGTCTTGCCCAGGGACACTTTGGCATGTGACTGCTGGTGGATTTGAACCCCCAACTCTTGCATTGGAGGACAACTGCTCTAACCACTCAGCCACAGCTGCCCATGTAATGTAGACTGCATCCTCCGGTCTGACACTGCAGTCATCGAGTTCGGCTACACCCCCCACCCCCACGTCAGTGGCCTTGTAGATAAGTTTGTTGAGACTGTGGCATCCTCTCAGTTTACTGCTCCAGCACACAGCAGCAAACAGGAGAGAACCGGCCACCACAGTCTCATAAAACATTTTCACCACAGTCCGGCAGATGTTAAATGATCTTAACATCCTCAAAAAATAGAGGCGGCTCTGGCCCTTCTTGTAGAGGACATCAGTAATCTTAGCCCAGCCCAGTTTATGGTCAATGAACAGTCATAGGCATTTATACTCCTCCACAATGTCCACAGTGACACCCTGGATGGAAATGGGGATCACCGGTGTCAGAATGTAATTAGAGATATCTCAAATAAGTATTTTGACTAGTCAAAATATAATTAAAGGTATCTTAAATAACTAATTTGTCTAGTCATAAGTCAATTTCAGATATCTGGAATGTAAGTGTGGTGAATCAGATTATATGTTAAAATGGCTTGCCTTACTCACAGGCTTCAGGAACCCTGGGGCTTACACTGCCAGGGCCTGCCGCTTTGCCCGAGTTGAGTTTCCTCAGCTATCTTTCAACCTGGTAAGTTGTGAAGGACACTGTGGAGAACGCAGGATGGGGAGGGTTAGAGTCAGGGAGATCCATGAGATCCTCTGGCTTGTGAACCAGAGGATGTAATGATGGGGGGCCCTCACAGCTACTTGAGGTACAGTATGCCCCTTTGAGGCAGGGGACGGGGAAGCAGTGGTGTTTGTAGACAGCTCACAGAAGAATTAGGGGGGCAGGGGCTGTTGTAGTAAACCTGTTGAAGAAATTATTTAATTTGTTAGCCATATCCCACATGCCGTCAGTTCCTCCTGCAGTAGCTGGTCTGAAACCAGTGATAGTCTTCATACCACTCCAGACCTCCCTCATGTTGATCTGCTGGAGAGTCCACTCCTGCTTCCTCCTGTAGTTCTTTGATCTTGATTTTCAGGTCCATCTGAATGGTTCTCAGCTCCTCCCTGTTGACACCCCTGAAGACCTTCTTCTTCTTCTTCTTCAATAAGGCTTTGATGTTTTATAGGTCACCCAAAGCTCATTACTTTTTGGTTAACAGCAGACAGTCCTTGTTGGAACAGTACAGTCCACACAGAAGCTGATACATTAAGCTTTCACACTAATAAAATTACCAGTACAAGGGACCAAAAATGATAACATTATAGGTACTTTTAGGGATGTGGAAAAGGTAGAAAAGCACCTCGTTAATCGAGCCTCAGCAAAGTGGAACTACTTGTGTCAGTCTTTAGATCAACCGGACAATTTTCTCGGTGCACCGCTGAGCGCTCCGCTTTCCCCCAATTAAAGTACTTTTCCTACAAACAAACAGTAAGTTTCAAACTTTTTCCACCATATCGGCCTAGGAGTTAAACAGAATGAACACGGAGTAAAAGTGGGAAATTAATGTGTCGAGTTCACGCTGTTAAAAATGCAACATTTAGCACAAGCTAGCTAACAGAAGTTAAACATGTTGTCAGTCTAATACACTTGTTTTATATGCTGTGAAATACAGACTAAAATAAAAAGTGTCTCGAAAGGCAACAAAAACAAGAAAGTAAATTAGCATTTTGACTTTTCTGGTTGCATATTAAATGTGCTCATGATCAAAATAAACAGTTTTATGTAGTTGACCTGACACACTGGACAAACGTTGTGTGAATAGAAGCACAAATATATTCGTTTATTCCCGTGTTCATTTAAAGATGGAAGGTAAACAGTTAAGATGTGGTTTATAATAAATGTGAGCTTGCACCTTTAAATCCGCATGAGTTTTCATCAACAACAACACATTAAAGGTTCTGTTTGCAATTTTCAAACCGTTCTTGAATCAGTAAGCAGCTCTCCTTGAAAACCCACGTTGCATACAAACGTTTTAAACAAAGATCTGCTCTTGACACTTGGGGGTATGTGTTTGGGATCACTCAGCTACTGCTACACCAAACTTTAGCTCAGCGTTTGTTAAAATGACTTGTTAGCTGTTGGGCATCTTGAATCTGCTTTCCTTCAACAGTTGGGAGAGTTGCAGCCTTCACTGACATGATCTGTTCCCATTCAGCACCGATGCATCCTGCCGTCCAACACACCCCGTCTTTAACGGTGCTGGTCAGCACAGACTGTCCCAATAAACACATTAAAATGTCCTCTTTGCTTATTTGCTGAACAGGAAGATGGCTCTGCGAGCTTGTGGGTTCATAGTGTTTCGCCGCCTTGTTGGCAGCGTGCCACCACCAGGCAATGTGGAGTATCTCCTCCTGCAGACTTCTTATGGGCAGCACCACTGGACGCCACCCAAAGGTGTGTTTAAAAGTTCAACTCGGATGAGCTAAGCTCTGTTTAGATAGAGGTTAATGTTTTATTACCATTAACATTCGATATGTTCATTTGGCAGGTCATGTGGACCCAGGTGAGGACGACCTAACTACTGCCCTGAGAGAAACCAAAGAAGAGGCGGGGCTAGGGGCGGAGCATCTGCAAGTGCTAAACGGTTTTGTGAAGAAGCTGCAGTATGAGGTTCGCGGCAGACCCAAAGAGGTGCTGTACTGGCTGGCCGAGCTGAAAGACCCGGGGACGGCGGTGATGTTGTCCGACGAGCACCAAGACTATCGCTGGGCCCCGCTGGAGGAGGCCTGCGCCCTGGCCCAGTACAAAGACCTGCAGGACACCCTGAGAGCAGCTCACAGACACCTAGAGGTCCAGCAGGACTGACAGCGATGTGTCAGAAAGTAGACTTAAAAAGACACTAAATAATGAAAAATACTGCCTCACATTCACCGTGCAACGAAGGCGAACAGATGGTTTTGCTGCATGCTAGCTGATAATGTTATGTTAGCAAAATATTACCTGAACCATTTGGCAGATTTGAATGAGACGTATAAAGTGAAAGGCAGCAGCAATATGCATTTCTTAAAGGAATGCTAGGCCTTTAATCATCTCCTGCTTTTATGGTTTGTGTAAATGCTTTGTCTCCGGAGTGGTTTTAATTTATGTGATTTGGTTTATGAACAATACAAACATGGGCTATATCCGTGTACTTGAATCTTGGGTCACATGTAATAGGATTAAACCGAAATCATATTTTTGAATTCAAATTATTCAAAATATGCCAAATGCACAACTGAGTGAAGAAAATCTAAGGTTAGTCTTGACTGGTATAAAATAAAAAGACAGCTATGCTTTATTTAGCGTAATCTATAGTTTGAATCAAATGCAGCGATCTTCTAGAGCCAGCTGTGAGATCAGGGCAGCAGGAGATCGCAGAGCCACCCAGGAGTTGGGGCAGCCGGAGCATGGAAGGACTTTGATGTAAATGCAGCCATAATTAACAACATGTTGCACTCTTAAATTCTGTCCATTAAATGTGAATAACAAAAAGGCAGGAAATTTGTTGAAATGATGAACTCCTGCCACAAGGTGGAGACAAAAACACTTCACACAAAGCTGCACATCTGTAGGGCTGAAAGTGGTGGTGGGGGATCAGCTGTTTCTGACAAGGATTTTAAAGCAAAAATTGTTTAAGGTTATAAATATCTTCAAATGTTTAAGTTTTTTCATTACGCGTGCAAAGATTATAATTAATAAACTTTAAGAGCTGTACCTGTTTGAAACTTTCAGATATTTTTTTAAATCAAATTCCTGTTAAATACATTAAAGGCAGGAACAGACTGATTAACAGAGGTCTATGTATGTTTTTTTTTTTTAAGTGGTCTCTCATAAGGTTGGGTTTAAAATCAGCTGACTCAGCTCAACAATTTAGACTTCTGTATAAACTAGTAAATTAATAAAATAAAATATGGTTTTGCACTCCAAGTGTAATGCTGATGTCATCAAGGTGCAGCAGAGGGTGATCATGCAAGTGAAAGGTTGTGGTTTTTATGACATAAACTAAAGTTATAATGAACTCATTTGGCTTAGATGCCTTTCAATTGATTAAAATACTGATCATATTTAAAAAAAAATCCAAATCGTATTTAATGTCCCAATATTCCCCTCCCTGGGCTGCCACCTTACCGTGGTGGAGGGTTTGAGTGTCCCAATGATCCTAGGAGCTAAGCTGTCAGGGGCTTCATGCCTCTAGTAGGGTCACCCAAGGCAGACAGGTCCTAGGTGAGGGACCAGACAAAGTGCAGCCCAAACACCCCTATGATGAATAAATTTAATGGAAACAACGTTCCCTCGCCCTGACGTGGGTCACCGGAGCCCCACTCTGGAGACAGGCCCGGAGTTGCAGCACGCTGGCAAGCGCCTGGTGGCCGGGCCTTCACCCATGGAGCTCGGCCGGGGACAGCCCGAAGAGGAGACATGGGTCCCCCTTCCCATGGGCTTACCACCTGTGGGAGGGGCCAAAGGGGTGCAATGTGGGATGGGTGGTGGCCGAGGGCGAGGACCCTGGCGGTCTGATCCTCAGTTACAGAAGCTGGCAAGACCGGGAGGAGACCCAGAGGAAGACCCAGGACATGATAAATCTAGGGATTCCCCAGAGGAGCTGGCCCAAGTGGGAGAGGGAAGTCTGGGCCTCCAGCTACTACAACCTACCCCCGCGACCCGACCCCGGATAAGCGGAAGACAACGGCTGGATGGATGTCCCAATCTTGTTCGAAATTAGTGATAAAGTTTAACCAAAAATTGTAAAACACATGATTCTTTCTCATATACTGTGTAGAACTTATATGAATTTAAAGACTATAAAACTAAGCTTTACATCATTACCATTGGTAAAAATGTAACTTTTCTCTCTCTCTCGTTACCCTAATACTGAGAACTAGAAGGAACTACAAATCATTACCACTTGATTTATTTTTTAAACAAAATACATGTTCACCAGTGAAAATGAGCACACATGGAAACTCCACAGTAAATGCTCTGAAGTGACTGACTTTTCTAGGTGTTTAAAAGAAAAAAAACATGTATACAGTATAGAGCTAATTGTTGCAGCGATGTCCATCGACATCTGGACAAACTGAACCGGACCCCGCAGCTCTTTCATCAGATAAACCATCAATTATAATTCATGCAACAGTAGGACTTAAACAGGAGTAATCACAAAGTGAAACAGGTTTCAAAGACAAACTTTATTTATTTTTTTATCATTTTACAACCTAACCACAATAACTTTCATTTTGCATATCACTCTTAACTTTAGCCCAAACGCCTACTTTATTTGTCTGTGCTCGATGACGCGTAGGTTTAGCAACTTAAATCAGAGCCATCTGCAAACAAAACCCAACAGTGTGTTTACATTCAAAATAATAAAAAGTGATTTGCTCTTCACAAGACAACGAGGGGCAGAAACAGCATTAATGGGACAATGTGTGAGACTGTGGACAGGTCAGTCTTCAGTGTGTGACCCTCATCTTTGATTCACACCTCTAAAATACACAGCTGTGCACGTGCACACACGACTTATTTCGATTTTTGGTTGCAACAATGCGCAGTGGATTATTCAGACTGGTCCTTTCTTCCGTGAGTCACTTTGTACTTTTTTGGCAAACTAATAATTGGTGCAACTTCCAATACAAAGAAAACCTTTAAAACTTTCTTTTGTCCCAATTATAAAAGTCAAAGCAGGTATTTATTTTAAAACGAAAGGCCTTTAGCATGAAAAATTAAAAGGGCTACACTAAACCTGGACTTCTCACTATTAGAACTAAAAATGAACCAAAAGCTGAAACTTGGCTTTTGAAGCAGTTTATTATTTTTTTAATATTTTCAGGGTTTAAAACAAATGAGGCCACACTTTTGCCTGTTAGCTGCTAGTTAGCTTAGCACAGACAGGAAATGGGCAAGAACTAGCCTGTCCCAGATTATAAAGTCAAAAAGTTCAGCATGTATTGTATCAATAAAAGCACATCATGTTCAAATTTACCGTGTAGGCACACTTCGTTACGGCTGGATAAAAGCAGGCTAAATGTTAGCCTGTTCAGATGCTAACTCAAGCTAACCTGACCATTATATCAAGATTTTGCATAGAGCCAAAAAAAAAAATTCTGCTGATGTGAAAATTGTTGAATCCTAACTTGTAAAGTTAGAATATTTTAGCCCTCGTTATCTTGTTAATATTCAGAGCGTCCAGCAGTTACACATTTTTTCCATCCCACTGGGTTTATCAGGTTTAATCTAAAGTTAAACATTATAATTTGCTACTTAACCATAGTTGTGAAATTATTAAAATACTCAGTTTACAAAAAAAAAGAAAGAAATGTGTTCAACTTTTAAAAAGTAATCATTCTCGGTTTTACCTTCGTGGAGAATTACTTTGATTTAGAGCAAATTACAAGGCTTTTGATGTCAATTTTATTTTCCTACATTGTTCATGTTGACGTGTGGTGCACGATGCTAATGGGTTTATAAGAAATTTTCTTCGTAACAGTGAACGATGTTATAAATTTGATCACTTTAAAACAGCAAAAAATAAAAACTACTTGCAAATTATCCTTGCGTTCGTGTTCAGTGCCAATTTCAGCCCAATGCAGTGAAAGCAATTTAATCCGAGACCTGAGGAGGAAATTTAGCAACAGTCACAAAGAAACCTTGTTAAATTTAGATCTAAGGGACAAATTGTACAAATTTTCTAAAATATTTTAGAATTTAACATGCTATTATAAGCTTTATAGAAGTTTTACACAAGTATTGTTTGAAAAATAAAACTCAGATGCCTTTGAACGGACCATGTTTAATAGGCCATTGCAGTGGTTCCCAACCATAGTCCTTGAGGAACACCATCCTGCATGTTTTAGTTGTTCCACTGCTCCAACACACCTGATTCAGTGGTTTAATTACTTCCTTAATTTTGTCTGAAGCCTGTTAATCAGGCTTTCATTCACATCAAGTGTGATGGAGCATAGGACGAACTAAAACATGCAGGATGGTGTTCCTCAGGGACCAGGGTTGGAACCACTGCCATAGTGTACAAATCTAACTCGCCAGTACACTGATCAGCCCAAACTCATCAGGACCAGAACTCTAATATTGAGCTATTTTAATGACAAGGTGATCACGGCGTACAGCCATGAGCCTTCACCACTTTTTTTTGCCCATTTCCTGGTTTTGACGCCGTTTTCTGGGAATTTGAATCTTATCAAAAGTTACTTAAATTCTTGCGCTTGATCAGTCTTTTACTTTCAAAAAGTCCAAATAAAAAAAGGGTTCTCTTGCTACCTAATTCTTCTTGGTCATATTGTTGTGGCTGATCAGTACATATCACTTTATCTCGAACGCTTCCTTTAGCAGACACACAAGATTGATGCTTTTCGTTACTTTGAGCGATCAAGTCTCTACATGATGAGGGAGGGGCAAAAAATTAGGACCACGTCAATGAAAAGTTCTGAATCTGTAGCATCTGTCCTCTTTGTACCAAAATATCAAATCCATTACAGGTCTGGGTCAGGAGGACCGTCCTCAAAAAATGTCCAGTCTCTGTGAGCTTCAAAGCCTGGGGCCAGGAGATACTGTTCCACTCCACTGGCTTCACATTGAAATCCAAAAAGGTGGCATGAGGAGTTCAAACAAAAAGCAGTAAATCCACTGCATGCATCCATCGGTCCATTAAAATGAAAGCTGGTGGGGGGTGAACTTGATTTCCGTGGCATAAAAAACAAAATCCATCCATCTGAATCACAAGTTGTTCCAGTGCTCTTGTGTAGAACGGGTTCTTAACGTGACAAAATGTGTAGTCTGCATGATGCAGCACAAGAGACACGAGTCACGTTGTTCTGTTCAGAAGTACAGGTTTGGAGTTTTCTTCTCTTCAGCCAGCCGAGGCCGATCAAGAGCCCTGAGCCGAGTCCCTTCTCAGGTTCATACGCTCATTTGGGAAAACTCGTTAAATCGGACAGAAGTCTGAGGATTCCACGAAAGGGAAAATTAAAATAAAAATAAAAAAAATGAGGAAAACCCTGACATCATAGCCATCATGAACGCTAAATGTAAACACACACACACACACACACAGGGTAACAGGCAATGCCATATTCAAACGTGTACGTGAGATTTCCCGCCCCCACACACCATCGACAATTAGACTCTGAACAACGCTCGGTTTTCAAAAAGTTGGAGTCAGACAACAAAAACGGCAACACGTACCGCGACATCGTGACTCCACTCCGTTTTGAAGCCAAACCCCAACATTTTGATAGAATTTATTTGGCTCTTGCTCAAAGAGAGAGAAAACGCACCCCAGCCTGGACCAACAGCAACACTCCGTCAGGTGTAAACACCAGCAGTGGATTAGACACGTTTAGAGCACTACGGCTGTCCAACTAATACAGGACGTGAGAAAAAGAAGCAGAGACGCGTCGTTCATCTTCGTCGACTGTTTTCCACTCATTCAGCGAACGTCTACCGAGGCCCTGAGGTTGAAGAGGCAGAGTGTGAGGTGGGACATGGTGATGGAGAGTCTGTGACAGACTGATGGAAGTTGTGCCCATAGACTGGAGGCGTTGGCTGAAGAGGACCGAGTCCAAATCGAACAGAGAGCTGGGAGAGACAACGATATCGTGAATGGCAGCTGGCCAGCTCATCGACTGGTTAATGAGCCAAGCGTCCACGAGCTGGACCGTCTGAGACGTCCCACAGGAGAACAGGACAGGGTGTCAACCAAATAAACAGGAAACAACAAGGACAGACGGTGAACAGACCCAATCGTCTTTCAACGTGAAAACTGACAAAAGAGCTGACCAGTGACAGAGGAGCCCAACTTTTGAAGAACACAACCATCTGAGGACTCGGAAAATGTTTTGTAGGAAAAGAACGGATCGTATTGAACCTACACAAGCTTGTCTTACGTTTTGGTCAGTGGACGTTAGTTCATTAAACACACACACGGTGAAAGAGTTGAGCCATGTCCAAGCATCTTAAACAAAACTGAGAAATTCGTAAAGCAACTCGGAGCCACTTGGTGTTTCGGGGGTTGTGGTTGTTTGCAGGTGAGAAAAGAGTTTCCTGCCGTGATCCAAACCAGAGCTCAGGAGTTCATCCTGACTGAACATCAAACACAAAGTCAAGTCCTTAAACAGCACAAAGGCTGTTTGCTCTGCACGAACAGATACATTAAGCACTAAAGGTTTAAAACTGGTCATTGAATGAGTTTAAACCCAACTAAGTTTGCAACGAGTTGCATGAAGAGAACACAAGCGTATGTCAATAATTTGTAGCGGGCACGTTTCACCTCCACGCCGACCAAAACCATGGAAGGAGGTGAACCCTCGAGCTCTTCGACTGGATATTTTAGAAGTGGAAATGCTCTCAAGACGACCTCAACCAGGACTGGAACAACTCCACGACTCCGCAAACCCTTAAGAGTGCAAGTGGTAATTAAGGCAAATGGTGAAAACGCAGAATTCAGACTTTCAGTGAAAACAACCTTGCTGAAACTTTTCCACCAGCGGGACGTGAGAATCCTTGTTGGACCGAAACACGTATCGGCTAAATAAACGAAGAAAAGTTTCCGGCGGTATGACCCCACTGTATGTGCAAACAAACGCACCGACACACACACGCATACACACCCAAACACGCTGAAATCAATGGAGGATGGTGGGGGGGGGGGCGTCGCTGGCAGGGAGGAGTTTATTATCCAGAGCATCACGACTCTTCGTTTCCGGAGTCGTCCTGGTTGTCGTAGTGCCTGGTGGACGTCCCGCCGTCCTCCACCGAGGTCATGCACCCTGCCTCGCCTATGGACTCCATCTCGCTCTCGTCGTCCTCCTCGTCCTCCTCCTCCATGTCGTCATCGTACAGGTCGTCGTAGAGGAGGTCCGAGCTGCTGTCCTGAGAGGGAACCCTGGTCTGGATGCAGTACTCCGCCAGCGTGGTCGGCACCTTCACGCCATCGCGCTCTGCCTCGGCTGCTGTTGACATCACCTGCTTCCTGTCGGCAAAAGCCAGAAATGCACGTTAGATTGGGCGTACAGACTACAAAATTAATTAATTAATTAATTAATTAAAAGCACGGTAAATTCCTTTAAAGTGCATTACCTGATAATCTCTGCGTACTCCTTGTCCTTGCCTTTGCTGTCCCTCCATTTACGAAACATGACGGAGGCGTCCACGTTGGCTGGGGAGAAGGTGTTGGGCTCGTTGAGCAGAGAGATCACACTGAGAAGGATGGTCCTGATCACACACACACACACACACACACACACACACAATGAGAACCTTCAAAAACATCAAGGTCGCACCCAGAAGCTTCTGGAAACTTTACTTCCTCTCTCCTCCCGTGTGGATCCGCGTGGGCTCAGACTTTCAAACGCAGACTCGGCACTTTATCTGAACTCCGTGAAGTTTGTCGACTTGCAGAATTAAGGAGAAATTCACGAAGACGCCCTGCAGGAGCGTCTCCCGTTTTAGAAGTCAGAACAAATGTCGTTTTTAATTTTATTTTCTCACTTATGTTTGGTTTTTTTTGTTTTAGTTCCGAGTTGCCTTGCCCCATGAAATCACTGCAGACAATTTTTCAGAGATGACGCAACTCTTTCAGGGGACGTAAAACGCTTTTCAAGCTTGTGATCATACTTTCTGACACACTTTGATGTGAAATATATTCGAGGTTCGCCTTCACTTCTCAGCTTTCTTATCCTACTCTGTATTTTAATCAAGTCAGTCGTTCGTTGCTCGCAGGAAAATGCAACCTAACGAATACCATTAGTTAAAAACGGCGATGAAGCACGTCTGTCAGAAAACGAGTCGAACGTGACGTTTCGTGGAGAAGTTACCTGACGTTCTGGGTGGGGTTCCACCTCTCAGACGGCAGCTCCCCGCTCTGTGGGTCATCGACAGGGGGGTGCAGGATGGAGATGCACACATCTCCGTTCTGAGGGGAGACCAAATATCACTACTTATTTATATAAATACACTATAAAACAAGCCTACATATATTTTATCCGTAATAATGCATGCTTTAACTCTGTATGTAGATGAGAAGCTGCAGATCAACGTCAACATAAATGGTGATTTTTTTATTTTTATTTGTTTAATATAACCGACTGCACTCAGGGTCCAGTTAAATCATGTTTCCACAGAGGTTCCTGACCTGGCTGCCCGGTGGAGCTAGTGAGCAAAACAATGCTGCTCACAACTAAAAGGTCCTGAAGTGCAAACATGGATGACGTGCACGGTGTTCCAGTATCCCAGAGGGTTTTTCTGGGTTCTCTAAGCCTCTAAGCTTCATAATTAAAAAATAAAAAAACACTTAACTGAGACACAGCTTCTGAGATGATTTTATGAAGGAACAACGATGATATAAAAATGAAGTTTATAACAACAAACACTGTCAAGGGGAAAAGCCAGCCACACTTCCTGTCTGGGCAATTGACAGTATATCCACTGTAAGGTTTTATTATAAAGTTAATTTATCAGGTGAAAAAGTACATAAAAAGGTATTTTTTTCTAGAAACGCACTAAAAGAGCTATAGGAAGGTGTCACCAACATACATTCATGTCTTTCCTACACAATTCATGCATGATTTGTGTGGGTTTTTTGGGGGTAGTAAGATGAAACAAATTGTGCCATAAAGTTTGCAATTAATTAGTTTCTAAAAATAAAAAAAGTCAAATGTGCACACTCTACTCCAAAGCCAGCGTCAGAGTTTAAGATCTATGAGTTTATAAGAGTACAGAGTAAGACTGAGCCCGGTAATGACTCTAGAAGGCTAGAACGGATGCAACAGGGAAGAACGCTCACTTACAGCGTTAAAAACATACTTTCAAATAAATAATAATATAAAAATTGACTTTATACATGGACCGACTTCAGCACAACGGAGTTCATAATCACAAATCAAATGACGAGGTTACATCTCGCTCATCAAAGTGTTTCAAGAGAAGTTGCCCCACGCACATTAGTCACACAAAACAAACGTTTACCTCATAAATATTTGGGTGCCACATCTTGGTGAGGAAGCGAAAGGTGGGAGGAGAGTACGGGTAGTCAACTGGGAACTTGATGTGAGCCTGGAGGAAAAACCAGAGTGATTTACAGACAACTGTGTTGGAACCTCATCGTCATAGAAATAAAGACACAACTTCATGTGACCTTCGATTTAAGATTATGAAATCAAACAACTGGCTTTTTTTATGCATGTGAATGTTTCTGTTCAGCGCCCTGAGATGACGTCTGTTGTGACTTGGCGCTACATAAATAAACTGAATTGAGTATTAATGTGCACTAAAATGTGTGTGTCGACACAAAGTTTATTCACGTTTATGATCAACCGGAGGTGTTGAGTCGCAGACAGGTTCACGTTGATCGACTGGTCTAATGTCACAAATGGACTGAGGCCAACTCATCTGAAAACCACCACCAAAAAGAAATATTACAGATAATTATATTTCAACTATCAAGTACCAGCATAAAGCGCCTGACATCATGTTGTTACTAATTCTCTTTCCCCCCTAAGAACTACACACTGGAGATCCTGATGCATGCTCCATAATCCAAGATCAACACCATCAGGCCAGGACTCTGAGGTCTACACTCCTCTCCAGGCCAGCAGTCACTCTGTCAGGGATGAAGATGTTCACATTGAGAGGAACGATGGTTTGAGAGAGGAGTAAAGGAGGCCATCTTTGTGAAAATAAACCGTCCATCATTAAACAGGGGTGGAGGCCTCCGGGTTCAACTGTCCTCCTCTTACAATGCTGTGATTGCTAGTATCACTCAGCCCCCTGTGAGTAGTAAACAGCCATCAGGTGCTAATGATCCTTTGTTAGGCTGATGGTCCTTCTTGAGCATGTGATCAGCTGGTTTTGGTTGTCAGCAGCAAACTGGTTGATCCACTCTGAGAAGGTGCTATTTAAGAGACTGAGCTGAATACAGCACCTCAGACTGAGGAAGTCTCTCGGATGAGAGACGAAACGTTTCTACATTTTTGTTGTTGTTGTTTTTTTTTTAATGTCCAGAGGACCTGATTTAACTCTTTTAGATTTACACTGGAGATATTTTCCTGGGAACTTTGTGTTCTTTTCTTTTCAGGGTTTGTTTCAGGATTAAGCTGAAAGAGCTGCAGGCTTGGGTGTGTTCAGGCCAGACTCAAATTAAGCAGCCAGAGGAAGACTCAGATTAACTCCAGAACGCTGCTGCAAACACACATCGTTACACCAATTTTTTTTTTTAAATAAATAAATAAATAAAAAGAAGAAATAGCAGTTTTATCTACTTAAAAATATATATATATTTTTAATATTTAAAAACAAGTAAAATCCTTATGAAAATTTTAAAAAAGTAATAGCTGTAAGACATGACAGGCCTGAGAGTTTCAAAAATATTATTTTCAACACTAAGAAAAAAAAACCCACGATATGTCAGAACTTTTTTAATTTTCTCGTTGAGGAGTGTTTTATCCTCCAGCAGGCAGGTGGTCCGTGATCACAGGCTTGTTTAAGATTTAACAACAAACTAATGGAGGTGGATTATATGTGTGTGTGTGGTGTGGGGAGTGGTGGCGCAGAGGGTGGGTCTGTGATCGGACAGTCGCCGGTTCGACTCCCCAGACCAACAACATCAGAATGTGGGTGGGAAAGTTGAAGCATCAACACCCGTCTCCACCTTCACCATGTGCTCCACACAGAGGGCTGTGGTAGCTCGGTGGTTGCGACAGGAAGAGCAGCCGGCGTAAAAACGACTGCCAAGTCTTTGAGCGAGTTAGTTCACTGTGGCGACCCCTGAAGGAAGGAGCAGCCGAAAGAAAAAGGAAAATACCGTCTTGTGGCTGCTTTTCAAACAGCCACGTGTAAACCTCAGATTTTTTTTTTTTTTACAGTTTATGTGCATAAACCTAAACTGAGCTGATAATCATTCCCTTTCATCGACGGTCCACGTTGTTACATTATCGGGTTTTTTTCTTTTTAATTATTTGGAAATCGAGAAAACTTGTGAGCGTTTTGCAGGAGGAACGCGTCACTTCTTCAAGACGTTTAGCTTCTCATCCAACAACACGACCGGGTGACCCTCAGTAGGGATGGAAGGGAAAGTGATCTGCTTGTGAGTTTTACAAACCACAAAACAAGGAACGGCCCAGCCTGGTTGATAAGCGAGCGTCACACCTTCCAGTTAGACGTCTTCAAAATCTCTCCAAGAACCAAAACGTCCAGTTACCTTCACTTTAATTTATCAGCTCCATAATGCGCCTCACAAACACATCTGGACAGCTGTTGGACCAGTTCAAAAATAAGTGTCAATCGTTTTACAACCATTAACTCTATAAACGACTATTTTACCATTTGTACAGAATAAGTTTGGCTATAAGAGTTTATCCTGCTAAAATAACTACAAACAAACAAATCCCTACCTTTACACCAATAATAATAAAAAAATGCTGAAATGAGTCCGTTCTTTTAATGATAAAAACATTTTGATGAGTCTTACCTGGAGAAATGAACCCTGTAGTGGAAGTCTTAAAACCTATTTGATCAATTTACCGTTTTTCTTTGCGTCTTAAAAACGTTACTTTGGCGTGTTTCTGACATTGAACTCTAAATTTGTATTTTAATATAATTAAGTTGACCACAGTTGTTGTTTTTCTTTACAAGACCGCAGCACTGGCCACTGAGCTACCGTAGTCCTCATTAGGAGCCTAACATGACATATTTTAAACATTTTTGTTGTTATCTACCTGAATGATGGCGCTTACAAACCTTTTTCTTTCTGCAAGCACCTAAAATCCGTACGTTAATTAAAACTAAACAAGACTGTGCGTTTGTGAATCGTCGTTCTAGAACACCTTTAGTGCACGCACTGCACGTCCCCTCGCCGTCTGTCCAAGTGGAGGACTGGTTTCCTTCATAGTTTTATGCGTGAACAGATTGTCCGACCCCGTCGTGTAGGAACACGGAATGTAAAAGATAAAGCACAACAACCTGAACAACTAGCATTGTCATTCCACAAGACATCGTCCATGTTACAACCCCAACCAGTGTCACTGTTCTTTTAATAAACACAAAAATGGCAGACTCATCTAATCACGCTGTTCTTTGTGCCAACATAACATTTAAGGTGGCCACAAAGCTAAAAAAAAATAGCTTACTTGAATTACAACCATCGTGTGAGTGAAGTGTTGAGTTAATAAAGAATATTTGTATTTTCTTTCAGCTGCTCTTCTTCTGGGGTCGCCACAGCGAACGAACTCGCTCAAAGACGTGCCAATTGTTTTTACGCCGCCGTCCTTCCTGACGCAACCACAGAGCACCGAGCTACCACAGCCCTCTGTGTGGAGCAGGGAGCTGCCATCGGGCGCACCGGGGAGCAGATGGGGGTTAAGTGCCTTGCTCAAGGGCTCAGAGTAGGGTGGAACCAGGTATGTGCGTTTCACCTTTTCAACCCACATGTTGATGGTGTCGGAGTTGAACCGGCGACTTTCTGATCACAGGCCTGCCTTCTCTAACCTCTGCGCCACCACTCCCCCAGTTAATAAAAAAAAAAAAACGAACGAAACGTGAAAGTAATTGTCAAAAAAAAGCATTCAGGTCACGTGACAGAACACCTCGTCCCACCTTGAAGTAGCCCCCTTCATACAGGGTATTGGGGGGCCCGAAGATGGCCACCTCCCAGTTGTAGAGGTCAGACTCCTCTACCAGGGTGATGCGGAAGCCCTCCACCGGCTGCTCCTGGAGGGACTTCAGCTCCATCATCAGGGCCTTCTGGGAACTGGGGGTCGCCTGGTGGGCCATGTTATCTCCTCTTGTGACACCAGGGGCCACAGATCAGCGAAACCTGGACACAGGGAACAGACAAGGCTCGTGAGTTTCATGTCAGTCAGGGCTGCTCTTGGACTCCAGATACATTTAATAACCCGGAACTAACAGAACAGCAAACCTGAGCTTCATGAAGAATCTTTCCAGTGAAATGTGCATCCAGAATTTAAACCCAAACAGCCTCCAGGGCCTGCCAGAGCTAGGTTCATTTTGGAGGCCCTGAGCAGGGGGGGTGGGGGGGGGGGCAAAGTTAACAAAAAGTGTTTACCTCTGTTGCCTCGCACTGAAATAAGCAGTCGTTGGGTTCGAGCTGGAAAGGTGAGCTCAATGGCTGTCCATGCTAGCGCCGTGTTCACAACAGGAGCGGAGGGGTTTCTCCTCCAGTCTGCCGCTGCTCCTCCTCGTGCTTCAGGATTCTTTGTGTGCCCGTGTTGACAGTTGACATGGAGCAATTCTCACTCTCAAGCCTCGCTCAGATACGGGGGTTCGGCGCCCCTGCCATCTACCCCGAGCTGCTGGTTGGGTTCGGGCAGGCGCTCAGCTGGTCCCCGCTTGTTTATGTTTGTTTCCGTGCTCCCCCAGCGGTCTCAACTTCTCCACACGTCAGCTAAACCCCCACCGACCGAAGCAACTTGGTTCAAAAACACAGAAGAAGCGGGTTTTTCTGCTTTCAGCAGCGGCGGGAAACACCGACGAGGTCGAGCCCCCGGTCCCTGAAAGCACAGGACCGCAAGCGAGAGGTTTACTCTCGAGAATTACAGCGGATTTAATCGATTTTTATTTTCCTCCCATCGACGCTTCCGGCTATCATTGCGCGTGTCTGCGGAACGTAAAGCGTAAGAGAGCCGTAACGTGACGTGCGCGCTCCCGACGCTGGAATAAAAACATGTCACACTCGAATGATAAACGTGTAACGTGTTGTTGAAATGATTTGTGTTCAGAAAAGATTGTTTTAATGAAAAAGTAAGCATCAGAAAATTATTTTTATTTAGTTTTTTAAGTTTTGAACTGCCTTAAGCTTTATTCTATTTATTTATTAATTATACTTTATTTTTATTTTTATCTTTAAACATGTTTTCTAAAGTTAAGTTTTATGGGCTTGGGGCATTTATCTTTTTTAAAAGAACGAAAGACGCTTCCAGCCCACAGCCATCTGCATCTATGACAAGTCTTTAATGAAACCAGGATAATGACTTACAACATTTAATTTCCCTTTGGGAATAATAAAGTAATTTTTAAGTGAATTGAATTAAATCAAAACATGGACAGCATGCAAACTCTTGCATACGACAGTGGAACTTTTTGACCATAACTAATCACATGTTGATCATATATTAATCATTTTATGTTGAGCAAATGTTAACAGGATGACATGATTTAGTCATAACAAAATTAATTCATCCATCCCCATCCATCATTTTTTACCTGCTTCATCCTTTTCAGGTCACAGGGATCACTGGTGCCCATGTCCAGCATCACTGCATGAGAGGTGAGAGACACCCTGGACAGGTCTCCAGTCCATCACAGGGACACATTGAGACAAACATCCATTCACTCTCTCACTCACTCTAGAGACAATTTAGAGTTACCATTCAGTCTAACATGCATGTTTTTGGTCTGTGGGAGGAAATCAGTGTACCCAGAGAAATCTCTGCATGCATGGAGAGAACATGCAAACTCCACCCAGACACGACCCCAACCAGGATTTGATCCGGCAACCTTCTTGCTGAGAGGCGGCAGCTCTACAAACTGAAATAAACTACCGGTAGTCAGTATTTTGTTGTATATATTCTGTCTTTTTTCCGTCATCAGGCTTAAACTTTCTCAATTCAGTTTCAGAGCATTGCTGTATGGTCATCATATCTATTGATGCAAGTAAGAGTAATAACTTCACCTCTATAATGCCATTTATACTGACTGAGAAAATTGACTTGATTCTTTATCTTAAATTTAAATTATATTGGACTCCTATTGCTGCCTGTTTTTATCCTTAATATCATTCGGATGTAATTTTCATGATCCGTCATGACAGTTTTGTGTCCAGAATTTTTGTCAACTTTCTCTTTATGCTTCACTTTTTAAACAATTCTATTGTGATCACACCAAACTGCTTCACATTTTTTGACACACACACACACACACACACACACACACACACACACACACACACACACACACACACACACACACACACACACACACACACACACACACACACACACACACACACACACACACACACAGTGCTGATTTGCTATACCTTCTCCAGACAGGTTTATCATTCATGTTGTTGCAGCTGACTGCTCACCTGTTTTCTTCTCAAACTGGTGCAACAGTTTGCAAACACTCACTTTGAGCTGCAGGCTCATTTGCACATTTAAAATTGATTGGGTGTTTGATTTGGAAATGCAAATTATAGTTGTTTTTTTGTTTGTAAGTTTTATGTATTATTGAGCTGTTATACAAAACACACATTCATCACAACAATATATGTTTTATGATTTATCTTTAAAGGGGGACCGGAGGGTGTGCTCCAGTTATAGGGGCATCACTCTCCTTAGCCTGCCTGGTAAGGTCTATTCAGGGGTACTGGAGAAGCGAGTCTGATCGTTGGTTGAACCTCAGATCCAGGAGGAACAATGTGGATTCCATCCTGGCCGTGGAACACTGGATCAGCTCTTTACCCTCACGATTGTCCTCGAGGGATCACGGGAGTTTGCCCATCCAGTCTACATGTGTTTTGTGGACTTGGAAAAGACATTCGACTGTGTTCCTCGGGTACACTGTGGGGGGTGCTCCGCGAGTATGGGGTTGGGGGCCTGTTGTTACGGGCTGTTCGGTCTCTATACAAAAGATGTGAGCGTTTTTGTTTGCATTCCAGTAGTAAGTCGGACCCATTCAGGGTGGGAGTTGGACTTCACCAAGGCTGCTCGTTGTCTTCAATTCTGTTCATAACTTTTATGGACAGAATTTCTCAGTGCAGCCAGGGTGTGGAGGGTTTCCTATTCGGTGGCCTCAGGATTCCATCTCTGCTCTTTGCAGATGATGTGGTCCTGTTGGCGTCATCGTGCCGTGATCTTCAGCTCTCACTGGAGCGGTTTGCAGCCCAGTGTGAAGTGGCTGGGATGAGAATCAGCACCTCCAAATCTGAGGTCCTGAACCGGAAAAGGGTGGATTGCTCTTTTCAGGTCGAGGATGAGGTTCTGCCTCAGGTGGAGGAGTTCAAATATCTCGGGGTTTTGTTCATGAGTGAGGGAAGAATAGACATTGACAGACCTATTGGTGCAGCGTCTGCTGTATTGTGGACTCTGTACCGGTCCGTAGTGGTGAAGAGAGAGCTGAGCTGTAAGGCAAAGCTCTCTGTTTACCAGTTGGACTACGTTCCTACCCTCACCTATGGTCACGAACTCTGGGTAGAGACCGAAAGAACAAGAATGCAGATACAGGCGGTTGAAATGATTTTCCTCTGCAGGGTAGCTGGACTCTCTCTTAGAGATAGGGTGAGAAGATCAGTTATCTGGGAGAGACTCAGAGTAGAACCACTGCTCCTCCACATCGAGAGGAGTCAGTTGAGGTGGTTTGGGCATCTGATAAGGATACTTTCTGGGCGCCTCCCTAGGGAGGTGCTTCAGGCATGTCCGACTGGGAGGAGACCCCAGGGAAGATCCAGGATGCGCTGGAGAGATAATGTCTCCCAGTTGACCTGGAACGCCTTGGAATCCTCCCAGAAGAGCTGGAAGAGGTGGCTGTGGAACGAGATGTCTGGACCTCCTGATCAAGCTGCTGGCCCTGAGACCCAACTTCGAAATAAGCAGATTGAAAATGGATGGATAATTTATCTTTATTTTTTTCAATTTCACAAATAAAGTAGTTATTCTTCATGTGTGGCTATGACAAACTTTCTGCCAAAGGTTATCTTTTTAATAGGTTCCTGTGTCTTGATCCAACATGATCTGACTGTTTTTGACTTTCTGCATAAACTGGCTGCTCCTTTTTTAGTCACAGTATGTTCAATTAAAAACTTCTGGTAATATAAATTATATTTAAAGTAGCAGTGACAAACAGTAATGCTTACATTGTTGAGGTTTGTGAGGGTGTATCAATGAAGTCCCAGGTTTTGTGTTCATCTTCTGCAGCACACAGGTAGCTGGACTGAAGTGGGACTGAGCACTGAAGAAGCATATACAGGTGCTGGTCATACAATTAGAATATCATGAAAAAGTTGATTTATTTCAGTAATTGCATTCAAAAAGTGAAACTTGTATATTATATTCATTCATTACAAACAGACTGATATGTTTCAAATGTTTTTTTATTTTAATGTTGGTGATTATAACCGACATCTAATGAAAACCCCAAATCCAGTATCTCAGAAAATTATAATATTTCTTAAGACCAATAAAAAATATATATTTTTAGAAATGTTGGCCAACTGAAAAGTATGAACATGAAAAGTATGAGCATGTACAGCACTCAATACTTAGTTGGTGCCCCTTTTGTCTGGATTACACCAGCAATGTGGTGTGGCATGGAGTCGATCAGTCTGTAGCACTGTTCAGATCTTATGAGAGTCCAGGTTGCTCTGATAGTGACCTTCAGCTCTTCTGAATTGTTGGGTCTGGTGTATCACATCTTCCTCTTCACAATACCTCATAGATGTTCTATGGGGTTTAAAGTCAGGTGAGTTTGCTGGCCAACTAAGAACAGGAATACCATGGTCCTTAAACCAGATAGGAAGGTACTTGGTGTGTCATCTGGACGGAGAATGGATGATAAGGAAACCTGTAGGTGGAATAGTGAAGTGCAAGGAGTTATTCAAAGAAAAAGGTTTGCTAAGAAGGAATATGACAGTGAGAGGACTGAAGAGAGGATACATGAATATAAGGAGATGCAATGTAGAGCAAAAAGGGAGGTAGCAAAGGCAAAGCATAAGGCATATGATGAGTTGTATGGGAGGGCTGGACACTAAAGAGGGTGAGAAGGACTTGTACCACTTGGCGAGACAGAGGGATCAAACTGGAAAGGATGTGCAGCATGTTAAAGATAGGATTGGTAATGTTCTAATAAGTGAGGAGAGTGTGACGGGAATATGGAAGGAGCACTTTGAGGGGCTAATGAATGAAGAGAATGAAAGAGAAACAAGAATAGAGGTCATAGAAACCTTGGACCAGGAAGTGAGAGTGAAAGGGAAGGCAGTAGGACCTGATGACATACTAGTGGAGGTTTGGAAATATCTTGGAGAGATGGCAGTGAGGTTTTTGACTCAAATATTCAATGGCATATTTGAGGGAGAGAAAATGCCTCAGGCATGGAGAAGAAGTGTGCTGGTGTCCATTTTTAAGATCAAGGGTGATGTACAGAGTTGTAGCAACTACAGGGGAATTAAGTTGATGAGCCACACAATGAAGATCTGGGAGAGAGTTGTGGAAGCTAGACTTAGACAAGAGGTAACTACTTGTGAGCAGCAGTATGGTTTCATGCCAAGAAAGAGCACCACAGATGCCATCTTTGCTTTGAGGATGCTGATGGAGAAGTGCAGAGAGTGTCAGAAAGAACTCCATTTGTGTCTTTGTGGATTTAGAAAAAGCATCTGACAGGGTGCCGAGGGAGGAGGTGTGGTATTGCATGAGGAAATCTGGAGTGTCGGTGAAGTATATTAGACTGGTACAGGACATGTATGAGGACAGCAGGACAGCGGTGAGATGTGCTGTAGGAGTGACAGATAACTTCAAGGTGGAGGTGGGAGTGCATCAAGGATCGGCTCTAAGACCCTTTTTGTTTGCTCTGGTGATGGACCGACAAACAGATGAGGTCAGGCAGGAATCCCCGTGGACTATGAAGTTTGCAGGTGACATTGTGATATGTGGTGAGAACAGGGAACAGGTGGAAGAGAACTTAGAGAGGTGGAGCTATGCACTTGAAAGAGGAGGAATGAAATTCAATTCATTTTATTTATATTGTGCCAAGTCACAACAGAAGTCATCTCGGGGCACTGTGCAGAAGTATTCAACTAGAAAAACGTTAACACTATTTATCTGAGAAGCAGACTGCTTTGAATTTAACTCCATCACAGAACTCTCAACTTGAGCAAGCATGAAGGCGACAGTGGAAAGGAAAAACTCCCTCATGAGAAAGAAACCTTTAGCAGAACCAGGCTCAAGTCAAGTGGCTATCTGCTTCTATCTACTGGGTTTGAGAGGAACAGAAACACAATCACATGTTAAGATAGAAACCTTGAAGTTATCTGTCACTCCTACAGCACATCTCACCACTGTCCTGTTGTCCTCATACATGTCCTGTACCAGTCTAACATACTTCACCGACACTCCAGATTTCCTCAGGCATTACCACACCTCCTCCCTCGACACCCTGTCATATGCTTTTTCTAAATCCACAAATGAAATGAAAATGAAAACTATTCAATTTTAACAATTAATTTAAGGAGATTCGGTCAGTTTGTCCTCCAGTAGTTTAAATCTATGAACTAAGTTGGAAGTTGGTTCCACAAGAGAGGAGCCTGATAACTGGAAGATCTTCCTCTCAAAGTCAACTGTAAGTCATCCGTAGTAAGACAGAGTACATGTGTGTGAATGAGAAGAAGGCCAGTGGAACAGTGAGGCTACAAGGAGCAGAGGTCACAAAGGTACAGGACTTCAAGTACTTGGGGTCCACTGTCCAGAGAAATGGGGAGTGTGGTAAAGAGGTGAAGAAGAGAGTCCATAATGGATGAAGAAAAGTTTCAGGAATTATTTGCAACAAAAGGGTGGCAGCAAAGTTAAAAGGAAACATTTAGAAGACAGTGGTGAGACCAGGTATGATGTGTGGTCTGGACTGGAGACAGTGGCTCTGACAAAAAGACAGGAGAAAGAACTGGAAGTGGCAGAAATGAAGATGCTAAGGTTCTGCTTGGGAGTGACAAGGATGGAGAAGATTAGGAATGAGATCATCAGAGGTACAGCACAGGTTGAACAACTGGGAGATACAGTTAGAGAGGCCAGACTGAGATGGTTTGGACATGTCCAGAGGAGGGACAATGGGTATATTGGTAGAAGGATGTTGCCAGGAAGAAGACAAAGAGGAAGGCCAAGAGGAGATATATGGGTGCAGTTAGAGAGGACAATGGAAGTAGTTGGAGTGAGGACAGAGGATGCAGAGGACAGAGTGAGCTGGAGGAGAATGACTCGCTGTGGCGACCCCTGGAAAGGGAAAAGCCGAAAGAAGAAGACTGTAGGATTAATTACACCTGGTTTGTAGCAGAAACAAATACACATGATATAAATACATTTACAGACAATGCTGTATGCTTTATGGACAAGGTAACACGCTGCTCTGTAGATGTGGCATATAATGATGGGGTGCGGATGCTGTTGAGGGTACCTCGATGGAGCAGTGCAAGCAAAATGTTTGTAGATGCAGGTGTGCCTACCTGCCCTGCGTGCTGCGTAACCTCATGTATGGATGCATGGATAGGTCGTCTATCTGAAAACTGTATCATCGCTACACTGACCAAACCTGGACTAAGCTCTGTGCAGTACTTTTCTCCTTTATGGACTCAGTGGCGTTTGAGCCTCTATAGAAAAGCTTTTTAACTCTGTGTTCTTGTTGTTCTTATGTTTTTATATGGATCTTATATTGTGTCTGAAATAAAGTAAACGGAGTTAAATATCTTTGATTCTTGACAAACAGGTCTCTCTTGAAAATTAGTCCACGTGACATACCTGTATAAATAAAGGTTAATTCAATTCAATTCAATTCAAATATACTTTATTAATCCCAAAGGAAATTATTTGTTGTAGTAACTCGTTATCCTCATTTCATTTAGATGTTATAGATACTGATGGTTGTAGACAGGAAGGATCTCTTGTAAAGGTCCATCCCACAGTGGATCCTAAGAAACTGGCTGCAGATGCCGTCTGATCCGTCCACCCAGACTCGGCTGGCCTCTCAGTCCCCCCGGGCTGTAGGACCGCCCGAATGCCGGGCAGAACTCCTCCCAGAGCGATGGCCACTTCTCCTAGCAGTCTGTCGAGCTCCTCGTTGCTGCGGACAGCCAACTGTAGGTGCCGAGGGACGATCCTGTCCTTCTACTGTCATGAGTCGTGTTTGCTGCTAGTTCCAGGATCTCAGTGGTCAGGCACTCGAGCACAGCTGGCAGGTAGATGAGAATGCGTCCACAGAACATCCTTTTCAACTCATTTGAGATTTGGGGCTGTAGTTGAGATATTATTTGATCTTTTGAGATGTTGATCAGCTGCTGCTGGTTGTAGAATACTGCCGTGTTGCCATGGTTACGCATCATAACAAATGTCCAAAACTAAAAAAGTTTCAGTAAAAATCCTTCCAGCTGCACAGCGTCTGATACCAGAGGGAACAATCATCCAAAAAATGTGATTTACATCCAGAAAAAGAGGAATTAAAGTTAAGTAAATAAAATAAAATCCCAGTTCTTTGTGGTATTTTTATTGTATTTTTTTTTCGTGGTGTTTTTAAATTGTGATCTCACGTGATGAGGGGGTATGACGTCACGACAGGAACAGCTTGACAAGTCAAGATGGCGACCTACGCCGAAACAGGAAAAAGGTTCCTCTTTAAACAAAACTGATCCCGATAGTAATTTTTTTTTTTGTCGGAGTGTCAGCGCGGTCAGGTATCATTTGGATTTCGTAGAGACGGGACGGAGCAGATACCGGTGAGATGTCTTTGTGTTTGTAAATGAGCAGTATTGTTTTAGCGAGGGGCGGTGGCAGCACAGAGAACGCTCACAGCCAGGCCACACAGGCGAAGCTAACCGTGTTAGCATTGACCATGGCATTTCCTCAAGACCATTATTTAGTCTAAATATGATATTCGGTGAGTTTTTTTCAGTTTGCCTGTATATTTTACTTCACGGTAGTTACGTTAAAAGAAGCTTACTGATTAACTCAAACCGTTTGCTAGCTGTCAGCGCGGAGCATTTAGCTAAAGCTAATGATAGTTAGCCGCATTTATGAAACTTTACAGCAATTTATGAGCCACGTAAGAAACTGAAAGGACTACATTGACATATTGGAAAAAACTCGTATTTATATATAAGCACTAATTATTGTCATAACAGTGTGCTTTACATGATGTTTAACTCTGAGCCCATGTTTGCTTGTATGTTAACATGTTAGCATGACAACACTGGCTGAGCTAAAACATCCACACGGCTCTATAACTTTTTCTCAACTATTAACTAAGAGCAACTCCTAAATTAAGGCCCTAAGAAATTTGACACACAGAAAGATCCCCTCAGATCACAAGACGTCTTTTGTACTGATCATGTGTGGTCCCAGCGCTGACATTCAATCTGAGGAGAGAGAAAAGTGCCAGGAGCTTTAAGGGTTTGATTTCACTTCATTCATATGAAAAGCAAAACGAACTGTGTCTTTCGTTTTAAATCCTGACATTTTCCCAAATATATTAGCGCTGATCACTTCATCAAAGTTTTGCATTTGTTTTGTGACAGGATTTAAATGTAAGACACTGTACTGCAACTATGGAGCTGCTGTGGCAGACGAAGAAACGGACTTTGAACTTTGATCATTTTGGTTTGTGTTTTGGCTTTTGCATCATGGATGTGTGCTCTTTCTTTCAGAGAATAAATGGCTGCAAGGAAATCTGGCACAGATGCGTACAACAATGGCAAGAGTTCATTTTTAATACTTTGTCACTTTAGTGTTTAGATGTTTTGCTTTCAAAGCTTAAAATAAAGTTCTATCCAGCATCTGCTCTCCCCTTTATTTGTTCCTTTTTTTTGATTTACAGGACCCATCAGCTACCTCGATGATGTTCCCTTCAAGATAAATGATAAATTTCGCTGTCCAGCCAAAGTGGGGTTACCTGTTGGTTTCTGTATGCCAGATTGTAGCTCCTTACTTGCAGACACACAGGTTAGTCCGTTACAGAAATTATGCAAATTTGCTCCGTTATGCTGTTATTCAAATGTTATTCCTTGTTATAAATGTAGTTTCAACTATCTAGAAGGCAAAAACAATGAATAAAGCAGGAAAGTTAAGCATGATGCTTATGTGTTGTCTTCGATTGTTTGTTGTAGATTGGTTATTGATAAACAGTCCATCCAGGAAATTGTGGTGTTGCTATGACAACAATTAACACGTATTTAACCAGTGTCTCCCCCACATTTTTTTCTTCTCAGTCTTATAATTTTGACCAGTCACTCCCTGTATCTTGATGGGGGGAATGGTGGCACAGAGGCTAGAGAAGCTGGGCCTGTGATAGAAAGGTCGCTGGTTTGATTTCCTAGACCGACTACATCAAACAATGTGGGTGTCTCCACCTTCATTTGCCCCACTCTTGGGCCCCTGAGCAAGGCCCTTAACCCCCACCATCTGCTCCCTCGAGCACCCTAGCTGGCAGCTCCCTGCTCCACACAGAGGGCTGTGGTTGTGTCAGGAAGGGCATCCGGCATAAAAACAATTGCCAAGTCTTTGTGTGAGTTAGCTCGTTGTGGCAACCCCTGGGAAAGAGAGCAGCTGAAAAAAGAAATAAAACAAAACTCACTGTAATTTGTTGACAAACTTGACCAATCACCTTCGACCCTTGCCCATTTTCACTTCCTGGATTCCAAGCCTACTGAATAAAAACGGGTCCTACATGCCTCCTGTCTGCCATGTGATGGACGCTCCTCAACATGACCCCCAGCGAACATCCATGTGTGCAAACTTGTGGTCATGGGTTACTCATATGAGGAGCTCCTACAGGCCATGCAAAGGCAAGAGCATAACGTGGAGCAGGTTGGGCTTTTGAGCACACCAAAGCACAAAAATATGCACAACTAGCATCAATCCTATTTGTAAATATAACTGTTGGATAAAATAAATATTCTTTCATCTTCTCTTCTCTATTTACTCAAATAAGCCACTCTGAGGAGTCCTTAAAGTTACCGGTTATAAAAACCTTCTTGTGTCCTTACTAAGGACACAAGAAGGTTTTTATAACCGGTCTTTACTTTCAAGAGTAGATGTGCAAAAGTTACATGCTTAGAGCCTCATCAAGCGAGGATCTGCACCAGACAGTGAGGCAGGAAGTGCTTTATAATACACGCTTATCAGACAGAGGCGAGGTCGAGACGATCCAGCTTACATACGAGGAGAAGGCCTTGGAGTTATCAGTGCTCCTCTGTGCACCTGCAGGCTCTTCTCCGAGCAGACAAAACAACTAACTCACACGCATTAATTTAACATTAGTTAGTGACAAACATCCATTGACAATTGCTAAAATTCCTTTGACAATAACCCTCATTAAAATACAGTTCTTTGTCTCTGTTGTCTCAGCAGTTGTCAGATCGATCTACCGGTAGTTCTATACAAAAATATAAACTGCCTAAAACAAGTGTCCTGTCTAACTGTCCTATGCCAGAAATCTCACATTTATCATTGAACATTACAGTGTCTTTTTGTGCATAAAGAAAAAAGTGTTCTCTGGCAAGAAGAAGTAAAAATCAGAACCTACCTGTTAGAACGTATTACATCATTAACAGCTGAGAAAATAAATGTGTAACATGGACATAAAAAATGCCCCAAATCACTTGCTGGTTCACGCAGGGCTCGTAGTTCATCATCTTCAGCAGATTCACTGACTTTTATCACATTTGGAATTGAAAGTGTTATTATAATCTTTGTACTCTCCCATTCAAGGATGACATTTATGCTCTGCATTTGACCCATCACACATGAGATAAACTCAGGTGGAGCAGCAGGAAGCTCTGTCAAATGCCCCGGGAGCAGTGAGGGATAGGGTGTCTTGCTCAAGGACACCAGGACATGGGCATTGTAGGGATACGAACCTGTGACTTTCCAGTCCCAAATCAACTGCCCTACCTCTATACCACAGCCACCCCATTCAGACCTTGGCATTGCAACAACTTTGCTTTGTTTATATCAGTCATATGATAATTTTTACAAGTTCATTTGTTCTTGGCATGTTAGAGAAAAAACATCTAAAAAACACCGTGTTTTATCACAACCGAACGAAGAAGCTGCTGCAAAATCAGATGTTTTAGGCCACAGCAATCAAACGTTAGCGAAATCCTGGAGGGACTGATCTATTAAAACAACTCGAGCAATCTCAAGCTATTATTTTATTAATTTAGTTAGTTTAACTACTTTTTACACATTAAACTGTAGCTTTATCATGTAATTATTACCAGTAATCAAGTAAGAATTGTCTCTTTTTGTCCAAACTCCTTCCTTGTTCTGAACAGTACAACTTTTCATTGGAGCGGCGGCATGTCCGCTGGGGGATTGAACTCGCTGAGGCCCAAGCAGCAGCCGCCAGAGCAGAAGAGGCAGCAGCAAAGCAGGACGGAGAGAGCAGGGATTCTCAGGACATTGATGGAGGTAGTTGTGGCGGTGGATTAAACTCTCGGTCTGTTGCAGAAGATCAAGACGTTCCCCCACCAGCACTGAACCCTGTTCTGGCGGGGCTGAGCCACAATGCCATTCTTACTCCACTGCCTGCCCCCAGCCTTGGCCCCAGAAAAACCCAGCCCAGCAGTCCACAGTTACATAATCTCAATTTAGCTGACTTTGAGCGGGAAGAAGACCCTTTTGATAAGTTGGAACTTAAAACTTTGGACGATAAGGAAGAGCTTCGAAGCATCCTACAGAGCCAGCCCCAACCTCAGCCACCTCCCTCTGTATCCCCACCCGAGGTGTCTCAGCAGGGTTCAGCGTCTCGTGGAAACAGCCCATCTCCAACCAGCACAAACACCAATGTTTCGGCCAAACCAGGCTTTGGACACAAACCAAACGGTTTGGTTGCCTTGTTGGATATGGACAAAGCTGGACAGCATGGAAAAGTAAGGTTTGACACGGACGATCGGCCTTGCAATATCCGCTCTCTGACTTTTCCCAAGCTCTCTGACTCTGCTGACCCAGAACCATCAAAATACAGCCCTCTTCCTGCACCCACTCCTGCACCTCGACAGATTCTACCCAACGGGAGCTCGCCGACCCTACTAAAAACTCAAGTTATTGTTGCACCTGAGCCTTCCAGCCACAGCAAGAGCGCCACTTCCAAACTGGTGAGTGTCGTGGAACACAATGCAAAGCAAAGAAAGTAAGTAATAAATGATCATCCTCACCATTTTACGAGCATTTATTTACTCCCAATTTTTCTACCAGGCCAACCTGGGGTCAGGATCCTCGGGTCTGCCATGTGGCGGAGCTCTGCTCAGCATGACCCCCGACGAGCATCAGTGTGTGGAAACTCTTGTGGGCATGGGCTACTCGTATGAGGAAGTCCTGCGGGCCATGCAAAGACAAGGGCAGAATGTGGAGCAGGTTGGGCTCCTGAGCACACTAATGCACAAAAATATGCACAACTAGCATACATGTTATTTGTCAATACAACCCTCCATTGAAATAAAGTTATTAATCTCTGTTGTCTCAGTGGTTGTCACATAGATCAAGTTCTATACTTAAAGATAAATAGCCTAAAACAAGTGTCCTGCCTATCTGTGGCTTTGTTGTTATGGTAACCAACCATGTTGGGATTTGGTAAAATAGGGTTTGTTCAGACATAAACTGCATGAACCATTTTATTTTTGCAAATGTTTTTGTAAATGAAAATGGCCTTTACAGAAGAAATGCTACTCCATGAATGCCAAAGTTTCAGAGCTTAAAAGTATGATTGAGAAGAGTCTCAGCTACTACCACACCAAGTTTTAGCTCAATATCCTAAAAATATGCTGAGTTACAGCCATTTTTTTTTGTTAGCTAAGGCCCATTAGCTCTGGGTTTAACTAACCCACCTTTAATGGCAGCAGGTGATGGTGGGAACCAATAAAATGCTGCGACGCTGACACAATTGTACAGAACATTAATAAGATGCCATTTCAAAATTCTCTGAGACGTCACCAGAAGCCCTGCATGTCAAGAATATTATAAGTTAAATAGTCTTTTAGACAAATCGTTAACATTTCTGTATTGTTTGTCCAAGGTACTGGACTATCTGTTTGTTCACGGACGTCTATGTGAGCGGGGCTTTGATGCGAGTGCAGTGGAAGAATGTTTAGACATGTATCAGTGCTCAGAAGAAAAGGTTTGTGCACGTTGGTTATAAAACGTCAGTACACATCGATGTCGTTGTGTTCAACTCGTTGATGGTCTCAAAAGTTCACATTGCATTTATTCATGCACACAATGCCTACATCTTTTAATCTTGTTTCCAGGCCTTGCAGTATCTGGAGCTCATGTCGAGATTTGGTGAAATGGGATTTGAGCGCGATGCCATCAGAGAGGTGCTGCTAGTCCACAACAATGATCAGGACAAGGCTCTGGAGGATCTGATGTCCCGTGCTGCTGCTAGCTGAGCCAAGCCAGTCGCTTAACCAAGCTCATCCTAGGGCCTGCTTCCTGCTCCAATCCTAATCCAGACCCTTTGTTTCTGCCTCCTTTATCTCACAATGCCCTGCCCTCTGCCTTGGCTGCAGAAAGGACAGCTGGGAGACTTTCTTTGCTGAAACATGCCATGTCTCAGCACTTGTGGAAGTTTATGTGCCTAGATTGGACCGAGGTATTTGTATGTAAAGGTGGTTTTAGGAACTTCAAGGTCATTGCGGAGCGCAAAGTAGGAGAGACTGGAAGGTGTGGGTCGTTTGATGCCATTCTCTGTTGCTTCCTCTTGGAAGTATTTATCTGAAAGCAGGGGGAACTGCAGAATTGAACATGGAGGAGGTGATGGTTTGCTGGTGTGAACTTTGAAGCCACAAAGCTTGCCATCTTCTGTTTCTGCAAACCTGATAAACAGGGGAGGGGTACGGGTAGGGTAGCGTAGAGGACACTCTCTCAAACTGAACTAATTTGTAGTAAATCAAATAAAAGGCACCGTTGCCACAGAGCTGACTCAAAAAGTGCCCTCTGAGCTGATATGCCCAGGACCTATTTCTGTTCTACTTCATGCTTTCTTACCTTTGTCTTATTTTTCTGTTTCTTCTTTTGGACACTTTTTTTTGTTGGTGTCTGTTTAAAAGTTGTATTCCTTTTGCTTTCTGTTTTAGGAATTGCATAATTAATCATTAGTCTTGATAACTCGGGAGAACCCGAGTTGAACTCTTCGACGTGCACTGGAACCGCCTGCTACAGTCGACAGACGTCGAGAATTTAAGATCGTTCCACGACGCGCTGTCACTGGTGTATCGCACGTTTCATCGTTCTCGTTTTATTTAACGTAGTTCACCGACACTTTGATTTAAGAATTAAGAGTTTGATATAATGTAAGATTTGTTAACTTACAGATGTGATGTGTTGTGGACGTCGGAGAGCGAGAGGTAAACGGAGAATAAAATTAAGTTAGGGTTGTTTGCGCAGCCACATCACGGTGCAATAGAGACATTTCATGATGTATGACTGTTGACTGGCACTTTGAGCCTCATTGGAAGAAACGACCCTCTTTACGCCCTGTTGGGATGGACAGAAAAGTTTTTATTTTCATTCATCGTTACTGACGCTCATACCACAAAATCTAATCAAACTTGGATTGTTGATTTGCTTAGAGGTGACTTTTAAATGGGCTCATCTTTTTTTCTAAATGGAATATTTTTAAACAGGAAAGTGACGTTTCCCTCAATTTTAATTGGGTGCAGTTGTTTCAACAAGAAGCGATCTTTTTCTGTTGTTGGGGTTTTCTGGTCGTTCACACGTCTTCTCAGTTGCACCAGGAACAGGAAGGACCGAACTTTCCAGCATTCTGAGCTTTGCAGCTTGAACCGAGAACGGAGCAGTGAAATTGTTTTATCTAATAAACAGATTCTCTTGCTTGTGAGCTGTAAAAATATTTTTAGGGCTATAAATGTTCATTGAAAGATGCAAAGATGAGACCGGCTTGAAGTAAATTGTATTCCCAAACCACACACACATTGCAACATCTAAATCTGTCCTGAGCTAAAAAGTTGTGAAATTTGCGTTCCTGGTGCAGGTGATTAAACGTGACTCGATCAAGACGAACTGTTGGTAAAATGTCTTCATCTGGCACTTTCAGTTTGATGTATGAAGTGATTTTATTTGAACTGCCTTCTTTCCTCATTTACTGTGATTAAAAACTGAAAGGTATACCAATATCACAAAACATAAGTGGCATTATTCTCTCCATACTTGACCCATGTGTGGGTTCTGTTAATCATTCAAAGTGAGCGATGCCTCTTTATGATGAGCTGCACACACTCGTCTCCTGTTGGTTCCTCGTCTTTACGATATTTAACTTGTATTTGGTTCACATTTTCAAGAAAATGCTTAAGTTCATTTGTAGGACATTAATGAATCAAATTTGAAATATGTGCTCATAAAAGTTGAGCTCAGTATTTTCCCTAGACTTGTATTTTACGAAGTGTAAAATTTACAAGTTCTTACGAATGTTTACAGATTTAAATATCTTCTTCAGTGGTGAGGTTTGCTATCCTTTGTTTTTTAACTCAGCTTGATATAATTGAAATGTGCTCGTCAAAGCTGGTAAGAAAGAACATATTCCTCTCATATTTCTATGTAGATGGTTTTTTTTTCTCTGTTCAGTTGAGAAGACTCCAAAAGTACAAACAAGTGTCCATCCACGAATTGTCCTTGACAATTGGAAACATCCATCTGTGATGCTCAGCAGGAAAGAAATATGCAACAGAGCAGCTGCGTTAACTCCAGGTCAAGGTTCTTTATTGTCATTTGCACATGTGGTACATGTGGTAGAACAAAATTGTGTACGCAGGGTCCCAGTTACATCCAACAAAAGTATAAATTGTAAAGAAAAACAGTAAGATCTAAGATACAAACTTAAGAAATGTGCTAAACTAAAAATATACTGGGACATTCATAAAACATGCTGTCATGCAGTACTGGTAACAGATCTGTGGTAAACGCACAGAGCTGAACATCTGTATGATTTCAGATTTATGAGCTGTACATTGACATCACAAAGACCAGGGAGCAGACAAGTCCTCTGCAGTTAAACTATAAAATACCAAAAGGTAAAATTACCTTGAATTTGTGTCCATTTATAGAGGGAGGTTTAGGCAAAAACCTAACGGGACCTATAAGAAATAATGAATCTACCGGTAGTTCAAGTTCAAGCATCTTTATTATCCCCGAGGGGCAATTAGTTTCACAGTCAGATGTGTACATATACACACACATGCATACATATATATATATATATATACACAAGACATTAAAGTAACAGTATTGAAATTAGTGTTCATTGAGAAATCGGATTGCTACAGGGATGAATTGAGTTTTTCAATCTGTTCTACATCTGGGCTGCAGAAACCTGCGTCCAGATGGAAGCGACCTGAACTCATCATGGAGTGGGTGATCAGGATCTGCCAGAATGTGCCTGGCCTTATTCACTGACCTCACCATGTGTAGGTCAGCGAGGTTCCGTAGGTCTATGCCAGCTGTTTTGCTGCACATCCTGACAATCCCCGAGAGTTTGCTCCCGTTCTTACATGTCAAAAGTCCAAACCAACAGATCAGAGTCAGAGATTCTTTATTGTCATTCGCACCTCATGTGGTACATGTGGTGGAGTGAAATTATGTACACAGGGTCCCAGTTACATCCAACAATAAAATGTATAAGAAAAACAGTAATAACATCTAAGATATGAACTAAGAAAAACATCAACTAAATATACACTAAGCACTCATAACATAAAAACATTGAACATCAGCACAAACATGAACATGAGTCTGTGTGAGCAGATGTGCACGCATGAACACATCAACATTGAAACAGATCAGCAGCAACATGAAACAGATCAGCAGCAACATGATGTGATTTTTCAGTGATTATTCTATAGAGATTCATGAGTCTAACAGCCTCAGGGTAGAAGCTGTTCCTCAGTCTAGTGGTTCTACACTTAATGTTCCTCAACCTCCTTCCTGAGGGGAGTGGGGCAAAAAGTGTGTGTGCTGGGTGAGTGGGGTCCTTCATGATGCAGGTGGCTCTCTTCCTGCATCTGGAGGTGTAGATGTCTGTGATGGTGGGGAGACTGATTCCAACATCTTCTGTGCAGCCTTCACCACTCTCTGCAAAGCTTTTCTTTCTGCAGCTGTGCAGCCTCCATGCCACACGTTGATGCTGGAGCACAGGATGCTCTCCACTGCACACCTGTAGAAGGAGGTGAGGACTGAGCTTCCAGACCAGCTCGCCTCAGCCATCTGAGGAAGTAGAGTCTCTGATGAGCTTTCTTGATCAGGCTGGTGGTGTTGTTGCTCCAGCTGAGGTTGTCATTCATGTGTACACCCAAGTACTTGTAGCTGGAGACCACTTCCACCGCAGATCCTCTTATGTTCAGGGGGGTGTAGATGTTTTGATGAAGGTAAAGATGAAGGTAAAGGTTAAAATAGACTCAATACAAGTCAAGTTGACTTTATTGTCATTCCCATCACATGTGGTACATGAGGTGGAACAAAACTGTACTCAAGGTCCCAGTTTTCATTTAACCATTATACAGGTTAATCCCATTGAGCCTCAGGGACTCCTTTACAAGAGAGACCTGATTTTAACAAAGAGTGATGACAAAAAGTGCATCAACGGCCTCGCACCATCATATCTCTCCGACCTTCTTCATCCTTATGCTCCTCGGGCTTTGAGATCATCAGACCAGCTGCTTTTGGCCGTACCAAAAACCAGATGAAGCTCAGAGGAGATCGAGCGTTCTCAGTCGTGGGCCCTAAACTCTGGAACAATCTGCCCATCAACATTCGACAGGCCACCTCAGTCTCTGCTTTTAAATCTCTCCTAAAACACATCTGTACTCATTGACATTTAACACAGGGTGATCGGATTTAGATCTAGTTTTTCAATTATGCTGTTTCTGTTTATGCTTTTGTTATTATTCCTATTAAACACAAGGTCATCAGATCTGATTTAGTATTTCATTGTTTCTGACCGAGTTTATGCTTTTTGTTATTATTTCCTTGACTTTTGACACAACGTGATCTGATTTAGTATCTCATTGTTTCTAATTACGTTTTCTGTTTTATATTTTTATTCCATGTGCTGTAAATATATCTTGCTACTTTTTATTTGATGAGGTGATATTTTTGTTAAGCACTTTGGTAACAGTTTCTGTTTTAAATGTGCTCTATAAATAAATCTGACTTGACAACAATGGACGACAATAGACAGTCATAAAAAGATGCATACAAATTGAGAATAAGTGAAAAATAAAATGGTCTTAAAAACTGTAACAAAAAAAGCTAGGTTGTTACACCCAAAAATAGCAAAAATAGAAAGTGTATTAAAGAAAAGAAGAAACAGCATGCAAGTATCCAAGACACACGCCATACAACAACAATATAATAGGGTGTATTAAACAGCAGCCTGAACATGAGTCTGCTGTGAGCAGATCTGCATGAACACAGCATGGACAATCAGCAGCACAAACAAATGGTCATTAAAGTGATTATCCTGGTTAGAGATTCATGAGTCTAACAGCTTCAGGGTAGAAGCTGTTCCTCAGTCTAGTGGCTCTACACTTAATGCTCCTCAACTTCCTGCCTGAGGGGAGTGGGACAAAAAGTGGATGAGTGGGGTCCTTCATGATGCAGGTGGCCCTCTTCCTGACCCCAACAGTCAGCCTTCACCACTCTCTGCAGAGCTTTTCTCTCCAGCTGTGCAGCTCCCGTGCCATATGTTGATGCTGCAGCACCGGATGCTCTCCACTGCACATCTGGATGTGAGGACTGAGCTTCCTAGTCTAGCTCGCCTCTCATTGTCACAGCTGCATGACGAAAACTACGCCTTTTTGTTGTACCGCCTCGAAGAACCGGTTCTGTGCACAAGCTCAAGAGAGTCAAGGGAAAGGAATAAATGTCTGGAGCCCTAACAAAGAAGGCTCTGCTGTGATTTGGGGTCATATTTCAGCTTTTGGCAGTTTTATTATTATTTTTAATCAAAATTAATATATTTATAAATCCATTATAAAAGCCCTATCAAATTATGATCCACCTGCAAAAATTATTATGAAAATTATATGGTTTAATTTTAAGCATCACAATGATCCTAAAGACACTGTCCGGCTTTTAATATTTTGTAGCACATATAAATAAATGAAGGGTGACTCGTGCACTGTACTGTACACTTGTGAAACTGTACAGCTTCTGTAAAGCAATAGCACAAATTTAATATTTTGGACCCAACCCTTACTCTCCCATTATGCATTTGAAATAACATTTATAAATGTACTCTCATAAAAATAAATATAATTAACCTACAGCCCCAGCAAAGATTTATTTTAAGAATGAAGCTAAATAGTCTGTTGGCGTGAACGCGCACGCACGACGTGCTCGTTTCCGTACGACCTTGTTTTGGTTGATGTTGAATTTGTTTGCGGCTGCGCATTACTGATCATTTTCTGCCGTTACCGCGACTTGGCAAGAAAAAAACTGAAGCGTGAACCTCGTTCAACGAGTGTGTCGAAACTTAATCGATTTTTCATTTTCGTCCTAAACCAGCGTATTGTTTAGCAAACAAGGCAGCAAGCTAATTTAATTTTAACCTACAACTGACCAACCTCAAGCCGAATGTGATCGCCCTTCCTCATTGTCGGACACTCTGCCAACGAGTGAAGGCCAAGGAACATAACAGCATATCGCCATTATATGAGCCAGTGTCCAGTGTTACTTTTACCCTCCATGTGGGTGAGGGAGCTGTGTGTTTCAGATTATGGCGAGAAAAACAGTTAGCAGGAAAAGGAAGGCTGGAGAGCCGAAGGACCAACAACAGGTAGGCGGAAACCGGTTAGCATGCTAACTAGCTCGGTGGTAGCTAGTTAGCTGATAAGCAATGATAAGACCAGTAATGTATTTTACTGATTAAACGATGCTTTAAAATGGTCATACTTGAGCCAAAACCTATTTGTGGTTTGCTCAAATGATAATGCGTCATGTTTCTATTTGAATGTCATTACCTGCTAATATTAGCATGACGCTAGCCCACAAGCACAACGGCAGCCCGTTGTCATACGGCAGCTAAAGAGACCCACTTCGTCTATCAAATGTTTTCCAAGACTGACAGTCTTCCACTCGGCTGGGAGAAACAATATTATCGGTTTATGATCACCACTGAGAACCGTATCAGTTTTAAGTTAAACTCAGCTTTTCTTTTCTTATGCTATGTCAAACAGCGTTAGCCCAAACGGCTAGCTGGTTTGCTAGTAGGCGTTATTTTTGCTCAGATGAACCGTGGAGCGCCTGCTCTAAATGACGACTTTTGACTATTTGATTTATTTTAAAATGAACAAGATTTAGGCAAACTAGAATTAGTCCTCATGGCACACTCTCCTCCAGTTAATACATTACTTGTGGTGTGTCTTCTGAAGACTAGGACTTGGGAAAAACTGTCATGTACTGATAATTGAAGGGTATACTGCACTACTATTTTTTGTGATGGATTTATGATCTGCTTTTCCTAAACTGCTTTCTGTTTATGTGAGTCACATTTGCATGAGCATTAAAAGTTGCTTTCAGGAAACGACAAGAAAGGCAAGAAAAACTGCAAATATCAGCACAGACTCAACTGAGAGAAGATTAAACCAATTCATATCTTTCAAGTTCCAGAACTGTTTAACAATGTATTTTAATGCTTGGCAGTAAAGGCAACATATGTTGTTGTTTGGAGTTTAATGTACTGTAATACATACACATTACAAATGCTGTTTGTAGTTTGTAAGCAAAAATGTCAAAACCAGCAGCAGTAATGGAGTAGTGTGGTCAATCACATTTATTGTTAAAGCTTAATAGAGACAAGTCAGGCATTGTGTGCATGTATGAGATATTTGTGCTTCTGTTTATTATCACAAATTTTAGCCCTGGTTGTGCACACCAAGTCTAATATAGTTTCTTTGACAGCGAGCATGTGTGCACTTCCGTTGTTAATTCTCTGTGAAAGCTTTTTAATCTTTATCATTGAACAATATGTCTGGGGGCGTCTACACAGAATAGCACAGACGTTATTTTTAGATTTTACAAAGGCCATCAGTTTTACCCACACCTATCGTTAAATGGTTTAACTTTGTCTCATCTCTTTCTCCAGCTGGGCTGGTGTCAGACTCCACACAAGCGGAGCCGAGTTTCCTGTTCATCACGGCATGCCCAGCAGTCATGGTGTAGTCGGCGCTCCGTTGTTTGTGCTCTCCGGAGCCGGGAGTTCAGACCTCAGCAACAGCATGAGTTGCAGTTCCAGCGGAGCTTGCGTGGCTTTGCAGCAGGCAAACTCCCCGGGATCCTCAAGGAAAGGGAGTTTTCTCTGGGACGACTCAACAAGGTGTTTGCATCACAGTGGCTCAACCACCGGCAGGTGGTTTGTGGGACAAAGTGCAACACGGTGAGTTGAACTTTTACCGACCTTTAAGCGCTTACATACATTTCTTTTTTTTTTATATAACCAACAAGGCATAATTAGTCTTTTTTTACTTGGCTTTGTAAAATTTCTTAAACAGCATATTTACAATATTACAACTGTCAGATTAGCACCATCTTTTTCTTTTGGCTGCTCCCTTCCTCAGGGGTTGCCACAGCGAACTAACTCGCACAAAGACTTGGCAATTGTTTATATGCTGGATGTCCTCTCTGACACAGTCACAGACCAATGAGCTACCACAGCCCTCTGTGTGGAGAAGAGAGCTGCTATCTAGGGCATCCAGGGGAGCAGATGATGGGCGTTAAGGGCCCAGAGTGGGGCAAACGAGGGTGGAGGCAGGTGTGGGTGCTTCACCCTTCCCACCCACATTCTGATCTTCGGGGAATCGAACTAACGACTTTCCAATCACATGCTCACCTCCTGTAAACTCTGCACCACCACTCCCCTGTGATTAGCACTAAAACCATCTTAAAAACCTTTTTAATAGTAATGGTTCATCCAAGTCAATGAAGTAAATTCATGTCCTTGAAGATATAGTTTGTATAGGTTGTTTTATATGCGCCACAAAATAAAAAAATATATTTTTTTGTGCAGAATTTTAGTTTGTTTTATTATCAAGTGGTGACAGATTTTGTCTTTATCTACTAGGGGTGCGAATCTCTGTGTCTGGCGATTTGATTCTATTCCAATTTTTTGGTGTCACGATTCGATTCAAAATCAATTTTTTTTTAATTTTTTTTTTGATTCAGAAACGATTTTTGATTCAAAAACTATTTTTCTATTGAAATGGTCATAAATTTTGTTTAAATTACCGGTATGTAATTGACAAGATGAAAAGATTAAACAACAATGCAAACAAATAGAACATTTATTTTAAAACAATAATTTTAGGTTCTTCATATCTTTTTGCTTCATTTTATATTTATACCAAAAACAGGACCAAATATAAGAGTGCATAAAATTCTGTAACTTATATTACCAGTATTAGGTTAGCTTAGCTGCTTGGCTTTTTCTAAAATAAATAAAAATCTAGGAACAAATAATTCACCCATCCATTATCTGTACCCACTTCTTCCTTTTTGGGTGTCACTGGTGCTCATGTCCAGCCATCACTGTGTGAGCGGAGGGAGACAACTAGACAGGTCTCCAGTCCATCACAGACAAATGATTCAAAATATTTAAATACAAAAGTAAACAGACTTCGGCCTACCATACATAGTATATTAACCTTTAACTCAAAATAAAATACAGACCAGTTTTTTTTTTTTTACCGTATTGAACAAACATTTTTTATATTTTCAAAACTTAACCTAATATGAAATATATAGACTTCATATTGATTCATATTTGGTAAATCTTTAACAAAATTCAAAATCTGTGCAAACCTGCACAAAAACTTCTGAACTGTAATTTATAAACCATAAACTATCATTTAGAACTGGCTGCAGGCGGTGTCTCATCTGTCCTCTTCAACCTGTTAAAAAGACAAATTATATTAAGTTTGTTGTACAACTTGTCAGTACAAGTTTTAGTATAATATGAGAAAAAAAAACAGCTTTGAGCTGAAGCTGCATCAGAGCTTCTCCCACTTTCTTTTTGTTTCATGGTGGAGTTGTGGTGCAGCTTTATTACTAAAAAGCTATGTGAAGGAATAACGTACGTTGGGTCCAATACGTTGGGTCCAGCGTATTAAAAATAAAACTAAACCCCTCGCCTTCCATTGAGCTGTCTGGTCATAAATCCTTTGTGATATAGCAGGAGATGGAGAGGGAAATCTTCACATCCCTGCTTGGGGAATCAGCTGGAAGTTTGTTGTTCCTGTTCGCTGGTCGGCTGCTTCGCTTTCACCTTCCGCGCATTTTGTCGTATTTCCAAAATACTGTACCGCAATTTTATTTTACACTTCTTGCAAACAACCGTGCTCTTGTCGAGCTCTGTCTTCCCTCGGAACATTGTAGGCTCTGAAATGATTTTTAAAGACGAAGAAGCGAGTTGGATCGCGCTGTCCTCCCACTGCATGCTAGCAGGCTCCATTCAGATAAAGGGAGCTGGCTAACTAGCTTGCTGTACGGTGGCCTACATGGCCAAATTATACGACTGCCGAGCAGACACACAATGCAATATGCAGTACGCTTGGGTGTAGGAGCGGAAAAAAATAAAACTTCAACGCATTTTAAAATCGATTTATGGGTCTTTAGAATCTATTCAGAATCGCCAGAACTAAGAATCTAGATTCTTTTTTAAAAAAATCTTTTTTTTCTGCACCACTATTGTCTACTGCCGATAAAGGCCTGCAGTTAACATAGAACCGTGTCTGTGTGTCCTGGGGGACATGTTCTAGTGTGACACGTTTTAAAAATTGAGGCAACTTGTTAGAACTTTTAAGAACCAGTAGTTCTTAAACTGTGGGGAGTGCCCCTTCTGGGTGGGAGGAGGGGCCTCAATTGTCCGCTGATTTTTAAATGTTGGTCTCTGAATTTTTTTTCTGTTTCTTTTGCTAATCTGTTCCATCTTCTCCTATTATTTGCAGCTTTTTGTCGTTGATGTCCTGACAGGACTTATAACACGCATTCCAATGCTAAAGGACAGAGAGTGTAGTGATGGAGGCTCTGGAGTGGTTGGTGCAATGGTGGGGGAACGACCTTACCTCCCAACAGGAAGCCCCCGTGCCCGGCTAGACCAGCAGGGCTGTGGCATCCATGCGATCGAACTAAATCCCTCAAAGACACTGCTCGCCACTGGAGGAGATAACCCTAATAGCTTGGCCATTTACCAGCTGCCTACACTGGACCCCGTTTGTGTTGGAGATGTAAGTTATTTTGTTTGTTTTATTTTGTACTAATATTTGGTTTGAAATAGTATTTTTCTACAGACAATAAAATTGCATAAACATAAAATTATAAAAAGACACTAAAAAGAATGACAGGCAGAAGCTTAATGGATTAATACATAAAACGGGGAATACAGCACCAAATGATTGTTAGCTGCTGCACGGAGATTGCTTTGTGACAAGTCTGGTAACACAAAGAAAGGTTTCTTTCTCGCTCTGTTGGTTGTAATCCGAGCTGATGTGTCCTTTGTTGTAGCTGCAGGTCTGGCACGTCACGTTAGTACAAATTGAACAAACTCTATCTTTTGCATCTAGATTTTTCTACAGTAAATACACCAAAGGGTTATTTTTAAATTCATTTATTTTTTTAATAAACACTTTCAACACAAGCACCGTTAAGATGTCATGCCCTTACTAAACACACCTAATATGTTGACTAAACCAAAGAACCAACAGCCTACCATGATCCTGCAACTTTTACAGGTTCTTGTGTTCAGCAAAGTGCCGTGTACTCATTTTCTGTAGAATCTTAATGGTAATAATGGAAGTAGCCCAGTGCACTGAGGGCCGTTTACATGAGACCGTCGGAAGGTTTGGAGTTTTGGAAAAATTGTAAAGCTGATTTAATTTTCAGTATTTTTTAAATTATGTTCATTTTCTATTTCTCGGAAAGAAGGTAAAAAAACGTTTGCTATTGTTATTTATAATTTAAAAATGAACGATCAACAGACCAGACTGAAAACCAAAATTTATTAAAGAAATGTAAGTTAATGTTTTGACAGGTCTGTCGGGTTTGACAAAATCCTTAACTTCAATGGATCTTAATTACTGAGATTACAGGGGGAAAAATGTGTACAAATATATGAATGCTTTCGTTGTAGATTTAAATACTGTAAAATGTTTATTGGACTGTGACGGGCTCCTTTAAGGTTCTTGGGTTATTCGGAGTGAAACAATAGGCTTTTTTGCTGACAAAGCTAATCCCCTGTTTAGCATTAGCCTCTGAGCATTTCTACCTGAAGCAAACAAGGCTGTATGACTTTTTACATAACAGACTTTTTTTCAGGAGGGACACAATGACTGGATTTTTTCCATAGCATGGATCAGTGACAACATGGCAGTTTCCGGTGAGTTCCTATTGGCCGTGTGAACACTGGAAAGTGCACATTGACCTACACAATTTGATTAATACTTTATGCTGTAATATTTGCTCATATTCATGTATTTAATAATAGTTTATTCTTATGTGCATTTACATTCAAGGATCCAGAGACGGCTCCATGGGTTTGTGGGAGATTACAGAGGAAGTGTTGAGTCAGGCTGAGAGGAGACAGAACGAAGAGCCGGTACCTTCCTACGCCCACATCTCCCACCGAACCCTCAAGGACATCCCCAAGGAGTACACCAACCCCTACAACTGTAAAGTTCGAGCTCTGGCCTTCAACAACAGCCATAAAGTAAAGCATCACGTTCTGAATTGTCTTATGTCACTTTTAAGATACAAACTAGAATGAACTGACACTTTAAACCCTACAATCTTAACTATTACTGGTAATTTGATTAAAGCCATTTTAGGTTGTTTTTTTTTTGGGGGGGGGGGGGGTGATAGAGCTGAGTTTTCACTTCCTGTAACAGAATTACTTTGTACTTTGTCAAGGACAAATTTTCGTTAACAAGCTTTTTTTTTTTTTTTTACTTTACACATTTTGAGTCCATTGGAGCTCGTGACATGTCACACGAGCTATTTGAGCACATTTTAGAGCACATTTCTGCAAAACTACTTTAGGAAAAGATCAAATCCCTCTGATTACCATAGTCTTTTAGTTGAAGCAGTCATTTTTCTAAAGTACGGTAACCACTTATCATTTAGTCTGGATCAGATATTTCTGCATTAATTTAGATTTCATATATTAAAAAATGCACTTTGTATTTATTTATGATGCTGTTTTTCTGCAGGAAAGTTCAGATGAATTCTTATTTTTGATCAGTATTCATTATGGTGTGGCTTAAAGAGTCAAATATCTACAATTTTGAGCTTTTTACCTCACTCAGCTTGTTTATGAGTTTAATATTTTCCTACTTTCTTTCTGTCAGGTTTCAAATGAATACATGTATTTTTTACACTACCTGTAAAATAAAGATTAAGTCGAGACTGGGAGGTTTAATCAACTGGGCACAGTTTAGTAAACTGCAGCTATTAACCAGTGAAGAATGTGAACTGTAGGTGTTCAGAGGAGCAGCAGCTGACGACTTCAGAAACTATAAAGTAGACAGCGGGTGGTTGTCCAGCTGTCTTTGGGTTTGTCTCTGTCCGTCCCTTTGGTTTGTCTTCACTTCTTGTGTTGGTTCTCCATTTTCAGGAACTGGGTGCTGTGTCCTTGGACGGCTATTTTCACCTCTGGAAAGCAGAGAACAACTTGTGCAAGGTACAGGACAATTGATACCATTTGATCTTTGTTACAATTTGACAGTTCTAGTTTGCTTTAATACATATTTAATTGTTCAGCAAAGTAGTAGCTATATTTGTTTTTGCTAAATGAAGGTGCTGCTGGAAAGCTGTGCGTTTTAACCTTTATTGTGTTACGGCTTGTGTTGATCTTTAGATACTGTCCACCAAGCTGCCTCACTGCAAAGAGAATGTGTGTTTGGCATATGGTCAGGACTGGTCAGTGTACGCCGTGGGCTCTCAGGCCCACGTTTCCTTCCTGGATCCTCGGCAGCCCATACACAGCATCAAGTCCGTCAATTCCAAAGAGAGAGGAAGTGGTAAGTCGTCTGTAAAATTAGTGAAAAGCCTTGAACATTCAGGACAGTGGACCAACTGTGTAAAAAGTACTCGGTTATAATCAAATCTAAATCTGACTTCTTTAATCAGCGACTTGTAATTTCTGCACAAATGGAGCTAAAGTCAAAGCTCTGTTAAGTAGTTGTAAAAAACAAACCAAAGAAGTCTGAAGACATTTTTTTCATTAGGAACAATTGAACCGTTTCAACTTAGGTTTGTGCTGCACCAACTCTAAAGTGTCTGTGTTGATCCGTCAGGAACATCACCTTAAAAATAAATTTAGGTCATGTCTCTGGACAAAAGAGCTTCAGTTCTTAGGATGTTTGGGTTTTATTCTCAGAGAATGTTTGGTTCAGGTTGTAGTTTTTCTTTTTGGTTCAAACTGAACTTTGGACACTTTTCTCCATTCTTTGTGTGAAGACGAAATGGTATTAGACCCGTCTTTTCTTATGATCTAGTTCAGTGGTTCCCAACCTTTATTGCGCCTCGGACCGGTTTAATGTCAGACTATATTTTCACAGACGGGTGGGGGAGTCTGAGGGTCCTACCCCAGAGAATTTTGGATAAATTAGATGCCATTTCCTGCATTCTGGTGTATTTTACAAAGGTTTATTACTGCCTCCGCGACCCGACTTAGGAATAAGCGGAAGATAATGGATGGATTATTACAGTAGATTAACATGAAACAAAAGATGTAAACTCATTATTGAAATGACTGCAAAGCGTTCGTAATGCAAAACGCTGCAGCTCTGCAGGTGAGGGGCGCTCACTTCAGGACAAATTGAGGTTGCTGATTTGTCACATGCTTAATTGTCAGTTATAAACATTAACATTAAAATAAACAAACATTTGAAATATATCAGTCTGTGTGTAACGAATGAATATCCAAGTTTCAAAAAAGAAACTGTCCAGGTGACCTGACTGAAAATTGTTTGAGACAAGTTTCACTTTTTGAATGGAATTACTGAAATAAATCAACTTTTTCACAAATTCTAATTTTATGACCAGCACCTGTATTTCAAATGTACTTTTAATCACTTTGTGTGATTTATAAGTGTATTAAGTGCAGGATCATTTCTCATTTAATGAGTGTATCCCACACCGGGGTCAGCTGCGCCTCGTCATCCTCCTCCCTGCTCCGCACTGATTCACATCAGATTGTACACAAAAGCGCAGGAACTTATGCGTAGTGCAAAACTTTAATTATATTTGTGTTTTTTTTTTTTTTTTTTTTAATAAAATTGCTCATGACTTTGAACTTTTAGGAGCGGAGATTTTTTTTTGCGAGCAGAAGCAGAAATGCGAAGGAACAGCTCTGATGTGAATTAAAAAAAGTTCAAGACAAAACCAGCTCTGATGTGATGTTAGGAAGCTTTGTTTAAAATTAAAGTTTTATTTAGTTCATAGTTTTACAGTCACTCTTTGTCAGGCGGGTTGAAAAATATGCAGTGATCCTTCAAAATGCGCAGACCCGACCACGCTCCTCCTCCCGTCCTGTCTGCTCCAGACCACGCAGCTGAATTACTCCACCCAAACGGGCGACGTAGATTCAATCTGCGCATGCGTCTAACAAAAACTGAAACTTACCACTTGCGTATGTTGACCTGCGTCAAGAGTGAGTCGTTGACAGATGTGGTGGAGAGAATCCGGTGATTTTTCAAAATAAAAGTTTTTTTGTTTTTTTTTCTGTGCGGCCAGTATAAATGGACCCACGGCCCGGTACCGGTCCACGGCCCGGTGGTTGGGGACCACTGATCTAGTTGATACACAGTTGTCTTCAGGTGCAGCAACACAGACTATATCATGTTTCACAGATTACATGAGGTTCTTATGTTTGACTACTGTACTTTTTCTTTTCAACACTTTCAGTAGTTTTTTAATAGTAGACCCATTACCAGTAAATTAGTTGTAGTGTTCTTTATTTTCTTCCTTACTCATGTTGTAATCTCTTGTGATTAATAAAAGCTGGGAGGCTAACGTACTTCTACCACCAAATGGTAAAGTCAGACGAGCAGCACTGGTAGTAGAAAGTGACAATATAATGACTAAACTATGTTGATTTGAAGTTTGATACCACAACGAGACAAGAAGGGGACGTGTTTACATTCGTGTTACATTAATGTTTGGACGTGTCTTTGTCAGGGATCCGTTCAGTGAGTTTCTATGAGCACATCGTGACGGTGGGAACCGGTCAGGGTTCCCTTCTCTTCTATGATATCCGGGCTCAAAGATTCCTGGAAAACTCTTTTAATCCAGCTGGTGGGTATCGGAAGTGCCCAGGAGATGGCATTCTTAAGCTCACTACAGGACAAGGCTGGCTGGTACGCTCCTTTATTTTAATCAAGATGTGAAACATTAAATGTAGCTTTGGCACCGCTGTTATCAGAAATAGTCATAATGCTGCTTCCCTTTCTCCAAAACTCATAATCATCTCTTTTTGTTTTGTGCTGCTTTCAGAACCACGACGAGACGTGGAGGAGTTACTTCTCAGACATTCATTCCTTCCCCAACGCCGTGTACACCCACTGCTACGACGAGTCCGGTACCAAACTGTTTGTAGCCGGTGGGCCGCTCTGCTCGGGGCTGCACGGCAGCTACGCAGGACTGTGGAGCTAGTTTCTTCTTTTTTTTGTCCCCACGCCCCCCAATCACTTTTCCCATTGCATCTTTATCTAGATGTTCACTTCTCAAGTACCTCCACCCTTAACCCTTGCCAGCATCATTATTCACATCACTGTCTGCAGGTTCATCTTGCTCAAGTTTTTTCACTCAAACGTGGACTCAGGAACATGATCTTTCATAACCGACAATAGTTACTGTGGATGTTTGTCCATTTTTACACTGCCCCTTTTCACCCCTTAATACCCCTTCACATTTTTCACCTTGTTTTTAATATAAATATATATATATATATATATAAATGTACAATAATTTAAAAAAGCTGCAAAATCTGCCTGAGAAACTCAGAAATCCATTAAGAATAAAGATCTACACATTAGCTTCATTTATTCCTTTCCATCCAGTCTGCAGGGATTAGGCTGTGGTTGTGGTCACCTGTTTTTGTACACAAAGATGGTGTTAACTACTTAAAGTGAGAGAACTACTGCTCTCTGTGATCTCTGAGCGTCTGTGTTCAGCTTCTCACCTACATGGACAGTAATAAAGGAGAGGAAGGAGGACTGAAGAGACTATTTAAGGACCGTCATGGAGGGCAGTTGGAGAGTTTTTTTACTGGTTGGGCGATCAGAAACGATCACTAGAAACCTCTTTCTTCTCCTGCCAGAAGTAAAACTAGGATCAGAATGAGACTTTGGTCATTTTACCTTCACTCAGATGATGTAAAGAATAAAACAATAGAATCGATAAATGCAGTGGTAATGGTCTGCAAATGCTTAATTGCAAATGATGCATTTAATTGTAATTTTCTTTTTACTGTAATCCGACAGTTGATGTTCTCAATTACTTTATTTGTATTTATTTCCCCCTTTTCCTGTCAGTTTGTTCTGTTGGTCAGGATTGTTTTTCAGGTTCATTTAAAGAACTTTTATTAATTGTTTCGCTCATTGTTTAGTGTTCCTGTTTTATTGTTCAAAAAGCTTTCAGTGTATCCTCTCGAATCAATCTGATGCGATTCGAGTTTCCAAGAGGTGGCGAGTTGCTTAACACCAAATCTGATGATTTAATAGATGGAGAAGCGTGTAATCACTGGATGGAAGTTGCCTCCACAAGATCCAGGAGATCTGTTGTAGCTCCGATAGATCTTAGGTGGAGGAATCTTGACTTTTTTTTTTTTAATTGCATTGGATGGAGATAAAAGCTGCAGGCACAAACAATTGCTATCACAGTTGAACCCCCACACCCTTTTTTTTGAACAAAGAGGAATGATTTTGCTCTTTTCTTTGTAAGTCTGAGGTAAAGTAGGTTAGAGTTTTGCCTTCCTGAAGTCTTTCTGTGAAAGACTGCCACAGGTGATCGTTGCTTTCCTTTTCTACACGGAGCTTTTCTCCAGCTTTAATGATAATGATTAGACAAAAAAAACAAAAAAACAATTCTGACCACGTACAGAACAACAACAACAACAAAACACTTTGAAGTGTATTTTATATATAAATGTGTATATGTGTAAAATGCATAAGGACTGTTGCATACATTTTATGTATATGTCTGAGAAAGTGTGGATTGATTGGTCTACTTGGTGACACTTTTTATACACGCCTCGTGAATGTTTTTACAAATGACTGAAATGGGTTATTGTAAGATATCGACACCTGGGGAAAATATATAATTAATTAAAGGAGCAAGTAATACAAATAAAATGTATATTGGTGTAAGACGTGTGTTTGACATGTGTTTAGTTTTAAAAAAGGGTTTTTCTAAGCAGTTTGCGAAACTTGATGACCACGGATCATCACCTTCGTTCAACGGTTCCTGGAGTTTTTAGGCTGCCAGAAAAAACACTCGTTGCCTCAGAAAATGAAACCGCACATCCAGCGCCACAATGTTCCAGTTGCGAATCAGCGGGACTCTTTTTAATTGCCGTGCAGGCTAACTACGATTAGCAACACAAGCCTATAATCGAGTTCTCGGCATTGAAACGTGGCAGCAACACGTTCAACAGAGACTGAACGTTACTGTGAGACGCTTCGTGAGATGAGAAGTGCAAACAGGTGGATACAGCAACTGTCACTTGTGTTACTCGTGAGGCAGCCATGTTTAATTTGACGTCAGGGTTTGTGAGTAAACGGACTTTCCTAGTCGGAGTTTCAGCTTCAGGGCGTATTCCTGTTTGTTTTTCTGACTACAGAACAGTCATCGCTACCTGACTAAGTGGACACTGGTTAATTTGTACTTCACCACTTTGCAACACCGGCTTGTATGTATTTTTTGCACTTGGATGACATTTTCTACTCGTGCCGTTTCGTACCCATGGACCTTTATACAGTTACTAATGAGCTGCTCAAGGTCAATATTTTGCAATGAATTGTGGTCTAGATACAGTGGGGAGAACAAGTATTTGATTGTTGATTTTTCAGGTTTTCCCACTTGCAAAGCTTGTAGATTACAGTAATTTTTATCATAAGTACTCTTCAACTGTGAGTGATGGAATCTAAAACAAAAATCCAGAAAAATACAATGTATGATTTTTAAATAATTAATTTCCATTTTATTGTGTGAAATAAGTATTTGATACACCAGAAAAATGAAACTTAATATTTGGTACAGAAACCTTTGTTTGCAATTAGCGATCAGACGTTTCCTGTAGTTCTTGACCAGGTTTGCACACACTGCAGCAGGGATTTTGGCCCACTCCTCCATACAGATCTCCTCCAGAGCCTTCAGGTTTCGGGGCTGTCGCTGGGCCACACGGACTTTAAGCTCCCTCCAAAGATTTTCTATGGGATTCAGGTCTGGAGACTGGCTAGACCACTCCAGGACCTTAAGATGTTTCCTACGGAGCCACTCTTTAGTTGCCCTGGCTGTGTGTTTTGGGTCGTTATCATGCTGGAAGACCCAGCCACGACCCATCTTCAGTGCTCTTACCGAGGGAAGGAGGTTGTTGGCCAAAATCTCACGATACATGGCCCCATCCATCCTTCCCACAATATGGTGCAGTCGTCCTGTCCCCTTTGCAGAAAAGCATCCCCAAAGAATGATGTTTCCACCGCCATGCTTCACGGTTGGGACGGTGTTCTTGGGGTTGTACTCATCATTCTTCTTCCTCCAAACATGACGAGTGGAGTTTAAACCAAAAAGTTCTATTTTTGTCTCATCAGACCACATGACCTTCTCCCATTCCTCCTCTGGATCATTCAGATGGTCATTTGCAAACTTCAGACGGGCTTTGACATGCGTTGGCTTGAGGAAGGGCACCTTGCGTGCACTGCAGGATTTTAATCCTTGACGGCGTAGAGTGTTACTGATTGTTTTCTTTGAGACTGTGGTCCCAGCTCTATTCAGGTCATTGACCAGGTCCTGCCGTGTAGTTCTGGGCTCATTCCTCACCTTCCTCAAGATCAATGATGCTCCACGAGGTGAGATCTTGCATGGCGCCCCACACCGAGGGAGATTTTCCGTTATTTTGTATTACTTCCATTTTCTAATAATTGCACCAACTGTTGTTGCCTTCTCACCAAGCTGCTTGCCTATTGTCCTGTAGCCCATCCCAGCCTTGTGCAGGTCTACAATTTTATCCCTGATGTCCTTACACAGCTCTCTGGTCTTGGGCATTGTGGAGATGCTGGAGTCTGATTGATTGAGTGTGTGGACAGGTGTCTTTTATACAGGTCACGAGTCCAAACAGGTGCAGTTAATACAGGTAATGAGTGGAGAACAGGAGGGCTTCTTAAAGAAGAACTAACATGTCTGTGAGAGCCAAAATTCTTACTGGTTGATAGATGATCAAATACTTATTTCACACAATAAAATGGAAATTAATTATTTAAATATCATACATTGTATTTTTCTGGATTTTTGTTTTAGATTCCATCACTCACAGTTGAAGAGTACCTATGATAAAAATTACAGTCGTCTACAAGCTTTGCAAGTGGGAAAACCTGAAAAATCAACAGTCTATCAAATACTTGTTCTCCCCACTGTATATTCCTGCAAAATTAATCACATTTTCGTTTTTGTATATTCGTCACAATCATCGACTATAGCTTATCTGACAAGAAAAAAGAAACGTTTAAGTTTGTTTCATCTTTACGTTCACATTAATCTGAGCTATATTGTACCTTAGCTGCCAAACTTTACACATGTCCATTGGTGTTCGTATATCAATCAACCTTTATTTATACAGGTAAATCCCATTGAGCCTCGAGGACTCATTTACAAGAGAGACCTGATTTCAACAAAGAAAGATGACAACAATGGACAACAGCAACAACAATAAATGGTTATAAGAAATTTAAAAAAAAAAAGCATACTACAGTTTTTTTTTTTTTAACAAATAGGATGGCTAAAAGGAAAAGGTAACAAAACAAACAAAAAAAACCCAGCTAGATTCCAAGACAAACGTAGAAAACTAAAAACAGGAACATGTCAGCATTGGACCCTGCCAGGTGTCCAACAGATTCTTAAAGACACTTAGAGAGGTCAAGGTCGAGAGCTTCAAATCTTTTGTGGTCTAGATATATTCCTGCAAAATTAATCACATTTTCGTTTTTGTATATTCGTCACAATCATCGACTATAGCTTATCTGACAAAAGTCACTTGTATTAACATGTTTTATTACGCTCTTATAACAACCTGATCACTCGTATTAACATGTTTTATTACGCTCTTATAACAACCTGATCACTCGTATTAACATGTTTTATTACGCTCTTATAACAACCTGATCACTCGTATTAACATGTTTTATTACGCTCTTATAACAACCTGATCA